GTGTGGGGGTGTGATGTGTGGGGGTGTGGAGTGTGGAGTGTGGGGGTGTGGAGTGTGGGGGTGTGGGGGTGTGGAGTGTGGGGGTGTGGAGTGTGGGGTGTGGAGTGGAGATTGCATGGAAAGAACAAGCTTGCATAATGACTGGGTTTTCGACTTACTTCAGTATTTATATTTTCCAGGCCTTCTAACAAGTCTTAAAAGAAATTAGGACACCTTGCCACCGCTCTTTTCTCTCCGAAACTCGACAACTGCAAGCTAGATACGAAATAAATTCGATTCATCACTCACAGAACTGGATCTCAAACCAGGGACTTTGCTGTTCGTGAGCAATGCTCTAACCAACTCGGCTACAGTATGACTCGTATCCACAGTGACGGCAAATTTATCGTAATTTGATCATTGATTTTCTGGCTTGCATCATTCTGCCAACTCACACTTTCAGAGAAAGGAGCAGTAAGCTGGTGGCCTAATTTCTTTAAAAAATACTTCGAAATTCTCCGTGAATTTCAAACGTGAAATTGCTCCAAACAAGTCCTTTTCGAAAATTGAGCTTAGTGACAGATCAAATACCTTAGAATCCCGCACAAGCTCATATGGGCGTCTGATTCAAAATGGCCATCGGATGGGCCTCTGTGTGGGCATGGGCCTGTGCGCTAATAGAGACACAGCAACGTAGTACTGCTAACATGCGCCTGCGCATTCTGCCAACAAGATAGGAAAATGGACTGCAACATGATGTAAGCCCACAGACCTGTATGCCGACACATAATTGTGTACGACCGATGTGTAGACATAGACTTGTACGTGGCTGGGCTTACCCGCGAGATTCAACAACGGCAAAGGTACTAATTGTTCTTTATCTCCCGAAGAGGCGCCGTCACTTCCGGTCTCGACTGTGTACGCATATCATAATGTGTGTATGTATGTGTGTACATGTGTTTAATGTGCAGTGGTGTCATTGCCGGTATCGACTACGCAGCAACGGAGTGCCGCAGTGGAACCAGGAAGTGCGTCGGAAAGTAAGTACTACACTGGATGTCTACAGTATAGGATGCTCACGGTCTAAAACACACCTGTCGTCGTCTGGATGTTGAGTCTGGGTCTGTTGGTTCTCGGACTGGGTGCAATACACCAGTCATCCCTTTTAATGATTTAGTCAATATTACTCCCAGTCAAACAAAGTCACATTTCAACGTGTTTTGTCTTAGCTGGTCACCAGCAGATGACGTATTACAGTGCTGCTTAAAATGAAATCCGATCACATGAGTCAGGTTTGCGTCCTGCGCGAGTTCCCATCCCAGTGTTTGCAGGTCTAGAGATACACAGCGCCCGACGTTCCACTTGACTCTCGCGATCAGATCTCTAAGTTGTGCTGCTGCACTGGTGAACGATGTGCATCATCAGTTTATGTGTAAATAATAGAATATGGTCACTGTTGATTGATAGTTAGCTTTTTAAACGGTTGAGTGGTGCACATGTATCGTATCGTTCTCGGAACTACACAAATCGATTCAGCGGCCAGCAGATTCTGAACGTCTCATCTTCAGCCTTCCTTCTCAAAATGATGCTTCAAGTCACACGGAATTTTTCAGTACAAATCCCAATGTACATAATAGGTAGTAGGGTACACACTTCTCATCCTGATGGAGGTGCATGAATTCAGAATAAGGGATGATGATTATTATTAGAGCATTGCATCTTCCTCGGACCAACATCATTCTACTCAGCAACCAGAAGACGACAAGCAGCGGAAATTTAATCCCCGTAGATATGCAAAGGACATTACTTTAGTAGCGGCTGGCACTAGCCAGGGTCCACAATGCTTCAGTTTTGCAGAATGCCACACAACCATACACCAACTGCTGCTCGGTTTCCGAGATGCCTCAAGCATGGTTTCATGTTGTTTCTTGTACTCGCAGCATGTCCCTTGGTGGTGGATTCGACTCTGCTGTCAACGCTGCCACCGATGCTTCTGTTGATGCTGTAAGTACTTAGATACTGCTGTCACCGGCGTATGCGGGGGCTAAGGCTAGAAGGCAGGGTTTTAAGACACGTCTTGATGAAGTTCTGTACATTATAAGCTAAAGCCTAATACGTTATGGCCAAAAAGAATTAGCTTTGTACAGTTATAATAGTATATGATGGTGTGAGCTTTGATGTCTACACAACTCCGTAATGTTACTATTAGGTTGTGTCATTATAGGTACACGTCGAATGTTTCAGTATGTACATGTAGTTTTGCCTCCTCAGTATGCAATATTCATTGTGACTCGGTTTGCCTCACTGCATCACGTCCTGCGCCACCTTACAGTTACTTGGCGTCAGCAAATGACTAAAATAACGAGTTGTTTGAACTTTCGTGTGTGTGTGCGTGTGTGTGTGCGTGTGCGTGTGTGTGTTCAGGGTGTGTTCATGGCTGTTGCCGCCGGAAACAGCTACGGTGCCAATGCCTGCAACTACTCCCCAGCCTCTTCCAACAAGGCGTAAGTGGACAACGTTGATACACAGCATGTGGACACATATCCAAATGTTTTTAGTGCATATCAGCGCCAGTGTGGTTGCATTGACTGATTCCCCAGAGGTAGTGATTATCCCGATGCCACTCAATTTGAAAATCACACAATTTGGCAGTGTCACGGGCAGGTATTATCACTACAGCAAGCCCGATAGCCTACCTACAGAACGTCTTCCCTGTGTCCACTTTAGCTAATTGTCCGCTTGTCTATTGGTCATCCCAAAATTTTGATTTTGTATTAAAGGTGATTTAAAGTGTATGTCGACTTTTCTTATAATAATCATTGTAGGCAAAAATCACACACTTACGCATCTATGCCAACCGTAGCTGCCCTTGTGCCTATCAGTATGTAGTATAAACGTGTGCTTACGGCTTTTTGAATTTCTCGTGTGTCATTACAGCACCACTGTTGGATCGACTGACAACACCGACGCCCGCAGCGTGTTCAGCAACATTGGAAACTGCATCGAGGTCTTTGCCCCCGTAAGTCCAGTACATTTGCCCGGCTCCTGTTTCACTTACTTCGAAGTACAATCAACCTTGTGAATACTAGTAACCGCCCTGGATCGGACATGAGAGAAGGGTTGGTGTTGTGTTCAGGACTTGTTGTTACTTGTGAGGTTGAACGTGTGCAGGTTACTAGGTCTATCGATAGCATTGGTAGTCACGAGTTGTTTCTCTACCCGAGGCTGGTAACCATAAGGTTGTAGTAGGTAGTCCTGCCCTCCTCAGGACATGCCTATGTCCAGTTTCAGCGCCATATTCTGCACCACTGTTGCTATGGCAGCAGCGGTACCTACCTCCGTGGAGCAACATTTTCGAATAGGTTCAAACATACTCATATCTAGAAGAAGAAAAAGAATGAATATTATAGCTATGAACACGCTCAGCTGACCTTTCGTCAGTGCTGCATGCACCCACCACCAGCATCACTGACGCCTAACGTTATTTTCTTGTGATGTGCGTGTTTCTACAGGGTACCTCCATCACCTCCGCATGGTACACATCTGACACTGCCACCAACACCATCTCTGGTGAGTACTCCTGGTTGCAGAGCTCTAGCTTACGAGAGTTGCCTGCCAACGGCCTACATCTCTCGAATCCATATAATTATTAGTGCGAAACTATGCACATGAACTGGCTTGTTTGAAACTACTTCCGAGTATGTCACACCGTGTTTGAGAAGGGTCTCAAAAGCACAGCACACAGTAAAGTCACGTATGGGGAAAGACCATGAATTCACGCATGCACAATCTCGTGAATGCATTGTGAGTAGTAATATCACAACTACTCCGTACTTCGGAAGTACTATGTATGCGACGTCAGACTAACATGTTAACACATTACGGCGCCAGGCGTAACAGCTTGTGCAAGTAATACTCTTAGATATGGGTGTGTGAGTGTGTGTGTGTGTGTGTGTGTGTGTGTGTGTGTGTGTGTGTGTGTGTGTGTGTGTGTGTTTGTGTGTGCATGCAAACATGTGCTATCATTATTTTGTTGATTTCTGACAAGTCCTATTACAACATCCTTTCCAACATACCTCTGCTATGTTCTATGTTTTGTTGTTTAGGTACCTCCATGGCCTCTCCTCATGTTGTAAGTACAGCTAGTTGATCAGTAACCATGTGCCGGTGTGAAGCAAGATGTTGCAACTGGCCATTACGTCTAAATCTTGAACACCTACTCAGTGTGTCGATTGCAGCAGAAGCCAGATGGTTGTGTCCATGTGCATGTCTTCTTGTGCAGGACTGGGGATTGTCTAAAAGGAACTTGAAAGTACAGGAAAATATAATCGTGCAATCCCCCTCCCCTGTTGATATCCTACCTTGGAAGCCACAGTTCAGTATAATACATCACACTCAGGCGCGTGCTCGGCGATGGGCACAGGGGGCACGTGCACCCCCCAAAAATTTTCAATCTGGGTAATTGCAATTGTAATGTATGCAAATGTGCTCTAAAATTCAAGAAAGGTTGCAAACAAATTGCAGAAAATTGCCGGGGGGGGGGGCTCCCCTCGGCTCCCGTGCACCCCCCTAGTTGGGGGGCCGAGCACGCCCCTGACACTACGGTATTGAATTGACGCCTGCGCTACTGCAGACAATGGAGGCATTTCTACATGTACATGTAGATGGAGCTGTACCCAATCCAGCACGTCTAAATATATTTTTGCATTGGTGTCCACCAGACTGCACTTGACTGTCCTGGATTTATTCCCACTGTATGCCAAGAAAGGAGCTGGTACGTGATGGCCGGGAATACAACCCCCCGACAACCCCCGACGACACAATGGTATTTTACAGTATTACGTTGGCAGGCTTTGCATTTGCTCAGTGCGAATATTCTGTGTGTGTGTGTGTGTATGTGTGTGTATGTATGTGTGTGTGTGTGTGTGTGTGTGTGTGTGTGTGTGTGTGTGTGTGTGTGTGTGTGTGTGTGTGTGTGTGTGTGTGCATGTAGGCTGGCGTCGGTGCCCGTGTCTTCAGCGCCAACCCAACCCTGACTGCCCCAGGTGTCGAGGCTGAGGTTCAGCGCATGTAAGTAATTCTTTGATCAACATTTAAAAAAACTGTCATTCCTTCCTACCTGCCTGCCAGAATTTACACTTCGTGGAATGGCAACGGTTGGTTTCCACCCCAGTTGGAGATCATGTGGACTACATTATAAACGTCCATGGCAAGGTTTTCGTTGATGTTTTAAACTTGTTTTCTTTTGTATTTTTCTCCTCCAGTGCCGCCGTCAACAAGATCTCCAACGTTGGTAGCGGCTCACCTAACCTGTTGGTGCAGGGAACCTGTGATCTCCAGCCCCCACCAAACATGTAAACATCTCTTTCGAAAGATCATATTCTTTATGTTCGTAAACATGCTTGAATGTCCTCTCTCACTCTCCCACTACTTTCTCAGTAATATAATTATGTGGTTGATCCTTGTTCTTTTTCTTTTTTAAATTAGTCACACCCTGCGTGGATTCTTATTTTAAAATACATGTAGAAATATTATGACATCCTCTGAAACTCATCTGCATTATTTGTGACAGAAATTACGTATTCAAGGATATAATATTGTCATGTAATTTTTAGTACTGTACGAAGAATCGGGATGACTGTAGACAATTGGTGGCTATCACTTTTCCCAAGAGTACATGGGGGTTATGTACTCTTGCTTTCCCTGAGACGTCTTGTTTGCACCTGGCTGTATGAAATCTCTGGCGGACAGGTCACAAGTTTTCGCATTCCATGATGGCAGCATTTGGAACCTACCCAATGTACTGGAAACTTCACAAAAGCCATTGTGGATAGGATACTACTTGGTCCAAAGAGTACAGCATAACACAATATTTCATCATGTACCCCCCCCCCCCCCCCACACACACACAGGGTCATTCAGCCATAAGAACTACAATCATGTAGATGATACTGCATACATGGACAGATGAGAAAGGTTGAAGCAGCCCACAACTATTGTGTTGTTCACTCGATCAGTTCTCAGCACCAAGTCCGTGCCAGCCTTCATTGATCACACTGTTTACACCTAAAGCTGTTAGTAACCAATTGTAACCCGGCAGAAGGAATGTATAATGCCAAGACGATCTCCAACAGTCCACCGCCTCCCTCCAAGGGTCCCTCAACAGTCTTGAGGAGTGGGGCCGCAAGTGGCGCATCTGTTTTGAGCCAGCCAAGACACAGCGCATGACTCTACATCGCAAGCACGTCCCCCCTGCACTCCACCAGTCACCTTTGGAGGTGAAGCACTCCAGGAGACAGATACCCTGAAGCTGCTGGGAGTCATGCTCGACCCTACTCTCTCCTACACGCACACTCGCAGTGTTGCACTGCGCGCCTCCCAAAGGCTGGGTTTCCTACAAAAGGCAGCACCCATCCTGGACGACCATGGTCGAGTGACGGTCTACAAGGGATTCCGGTGCGACCCCTACTTGAATATACCCCACTGGCCTGGTCGAGCGCAGCCGCAACTAACATGGCCCAGCTGGACAAGGCTCACTCGCAACGTGCCCTGCATTTCCTGGGACCTGGAACCATCCTCCAAAGTCTTCAGCTTCGTCGGATGGTGGCAGCCCTGTCATACTTGTTCAAGCTGCACTACATTCCAGGGCCTCCCCAGGTAAAGGCCATGCTGCTACCAACCAAGCCCCCTGCCGTAGCTAGCATGTGCACACGGCAAAAACGTCAGACGCACCATGGCCATGCCTTTCAGCTGAAGTGGACACCCCCTCGCACAGCCCCTGACTACCTCCTGCGATCCTTCCCCTTCTTCGCCATCACACCCTGGAACAACCTGCCTGCGGACCTCCTGCTTCACGAGCCTCATTCAAGACGCCTCCAAACCTTCAAGGTCAACGTATGTAAGGATCTAATCCGAAAGAGATGGCTGTGGTCCACACAGTACCTGTCACGATGATATTGAGACCCATTTAGTATTTACCTCTCTACTAGTACTTGCTGTTATGATTATTGTTCTCTTTCTTCATTTTCCCTTCTGGTTTAGTCATTACACGTATTTATATTATTTGGTGCAATACTAGCGCCCCTTTCTCGCACCAAATTATTATTTTTGCTACCTGACCATGCAACCCCCCCTTTTTTCGATGCCAGGTTGCAACGCTAACGCCGAGACCCCTGGTCGGTCGAGTTGCTCCCTGTACATCGGCACGTCGTCCCTACATCCCCTGTGTCTTGTCTTGTGTTTGTCTCCACATGTCTCTTTGTAGGGCTGTGTTCCCAATAAAATAAAAAATAAAAAGAGTACATAACCCCCAGGGGTTATGTATGTGTACTCTTTAAAAAATAATACGAATACCCGGGTATGCGCAATGCTTTTAAAACTCACTTTCTCCAGGGGTGTGTACTGCGGGTGGTGATTGGAAAGGAGTGGGTCGTTAGATGCTCGGTTGTACACACAGAGGAACGCCCAGCGTCGGTCTAATACTAGTAATAGGCCTGCTATTCTCATTGCTTTTGTGCAGTAGTAAGCTGTGGAAGAACAGTGCATCGCCCGGCTCCATTTCCACCTACACCTCATCCAGTCTCTGCAATCGGGAGGGAGAATAAGCACAAGGTCCAATCTAACAATCATAGTGTCCAATATTCCCAAGCGGCAGGGCCATTTTGGCAACTACGCTACCTCTTTCGTTCGAGGCACTTAAAAAAGTCTTTTACAGTCTTTGTTTGGAGATGACTCAGTCACTGAGTGTTGTGCAATAAAACTCAAGAAAAGAACAGGTTTCAGGAGATCCCCCAGATAGGCGTTAGCCTTTGGGTAATCCTGAAATAAAGATTATTATACTTCAGTACACTGGCTACTCACAATCAACACTTGCATACCTCAAAGCTCTTCCACTACAGTCAGTAGTGCTTTCATTGCCTTCTCATCAGGCGGAGTACAGGCAAACCCGTGACCAATTCGGCGGCCAAGCACATGATTATTACGATGTATAATGCCATCAAGACAACCATCAAGACAAGTCACAACCATCAAGACATCCATCAAGACAACCATGGTACCAGGAACAGAAGTGCGGTGGATGATCCGAAACCATGTCGCCAGTAGCCGCTCACTCAACCGATACCCGAGACGCCGCGCTGACGATACTTCCGCAACTCTTCCAATGAAGTCCTGATCTCGGGTGGTGTCTCGGATATCTGTACAGTAGTCAGTGGATATTATCGTCTTGCGCAAACTGGTCTCGATGGACAGCTAACTACTACCATCAACATGAAGCTGCTTGTGCTCCTCGCCCTGCTCCCATGTGTCCTGGGAAGAGGTGAGTGACTAACTGAAGCTTATAAAATATAATGCACTTTTAAAAAATACCAAGAGTTGATGAACTCTTCTTGATGTACTGATGTTTTGTGGAATACCAATGTAAACCAATTTACCGTATTCATTTTTTTCAAGCTACCTCTACCTCCTGCGCTGCAGCCCGTGCTTTTTGGAGCTGTGCTTGTGTTTGTAATTTCAACGGTATAAGCTCATCTTTGAACGACTCCCTTTCCTGGTTGACTCACTTTCTTTACTTTTGTGAATGTGAACATCGGTGCAAAGCCGATGCCATCGGCGATGGGCGATGAGCCTGGCCGGCCAACGACCTGCACAAGAAATGCCTGCTCCACGCGGACCACGGGTGCTATTTCACACGTCCGACTTTGCCAACTACCTGCGCACAGCTGCACAAGTAACTAATTACTTTTTGTAGTCTACACTGTAGACTACAAAAAGTAATTAGTTACTTGTGCAGCTGTGTAATCATGGTAATAGCTGAAGAAATGCCCGCTCCATAGGTGCTACTATAGTATTTCACACGTCCGGCTTTGACTTTGCACAGGTCGATATGGCACTGAGTGAATTTGCGCCGAAAACGGAGTACAGTAGCGGGTCAAGGTCAAGTAATTAGTTAGTGGCAGAAGCCAGCAGTTCGACGGGAATGCGGCATTTCTCCATTCGATGCACTGTTTTTTTTAGAGAGTAGTTCAGTGAGACTTGCTCCGCTTTGCGGTATCAAGCATTTGAGCAGGGGCCGTTTTGATAAAACGATGGCATTGACTTTCTGTGCTTGTTTCGTCATTCCGCTGGCCTCTCTCCTCTTCTCCACAACATTGTTCGCCCACCCTCTCTGATATCGAGAGTACTCTTGCTGATATGCATTTCTTGGACACGAAGGTAAGGGCGTTCGGACCTTAGCACGCTGGTGCGGTAGTGTGTATGTATTTCTGACATTTCCGTCCCGCCAAGTCGAAGAGGTGGACTGGCCCAGCGAAGCAGATGTGCATGTGGTGCTAGAGCTAGCATGATGACGGTTCACTGCCAGTACTGCAGTGCCTGTGTGTTCTGTTTGCTTGTTGCTCCTCTCCTCAACCAGGAGGCAAAGGAAATCTTGGAGAACGAGTACTGTCGCACAGTTTATCACTCCCTTAGTACTGACTCCCATAGATTTTCGCCATACCTAAGCAGTCAAATATTCCTGCATATTTCACTCCTTAGGGCTATGTTCCGTATTCCCCGGAACCAGGTTGCATCAGTACCGTAACTGTAATACCGACTGCGGATACTTTCCGAACCCACGTTCAACAATGGAGACAAACTTTACTGGTTCGAGTTCTCACTCTCAAAACACCAACTCCATCTTGGATTATCTTGGATGCACTCTAACAATGCCCTAGCAAAATCTATCAAGAACCTAGCTAGAACTGACTGTAGAACAAAGAATACACAGCTACATGTATAAGCAAGCGTCGATGTGTATAGGGAGTACAAGCAACACTGTCAATGGTGAATGCGTGACGTAGTCTAATGAGTACGTGTTGGCGGTCAGACACTTGACCTTATCGTATTATGGTATGAGTCATGCACATGTATGGAGCTTGAGGCAGTCATGCATGGCTACAGGTGTAGTGCTCGATGAATGCACGCAAAGTGCAGTCCTGTAATGTGACCTGTTGAAACCTGAACGGTACCAGGCGTCACCACGACTCCGACAGGCTATATTGACCGCTTATATTTGACTCCTTTTTAGCGATTGAACACAGGCTTTGGCTAGTCGTGATAAATCTAATATTGACTTCGTACTTGGTCAGTATAGGAAATAAAAGACCTCGTAAAAGACCTCGGCTTCGCCTTGGTCTTTTACTCGGCTTTTATTTCCTATACATGTATTGACCTCGTACTCAGTCAATATGTATTATAATACAACCCAACAGCACGCTTGTACGTGAAATATAAACCGACATACAAACCAGGGAGTAGTATAACACCGGTATTGTACTACTCCCTGATACAAACCGAGGCGAAGCCGAGGTTTGTATGATGGTTTATATTTCACGTACAGGCGTACTAGTGGGATGTATTATACTTATGCTGACCTTCAGACAAACTGACAGTCAACTTCTTCCTGTTTCTATGGTGGTGGTCTATATGGGGTTTGTATGGGGTTTGTATGAGGTTTATATGCCCAGTATAAGCCGCCAGCATGATGGGCAAGTTGACTGGAAGTTTGTATGAAAGGTCAGCATAATAGATACATATCATTGTTGTTTTCCACAGCACTCGGCAGTATCATCATGTTTCAGAGTACAACATCGAAGGACCCATGCTGCAGTTCCGCGTCTACTCCGTGGGCACCAGTGCAGCAGCAGCATGTCTGCTTGACGCACCCGAGGTCGACTACATAGTCATTGGACTGAACCTGAACTGCAGAAGGTCACAGGCTCTGCTCTGGACTGTAGACTTGCTACTTCTTTGGTAAGCTCTAACTAAGGTAGTTCGCTACAGTTTCAGCCATCAGTGTCGCATTATGCATTGGTCACCAAGAATTTCAATTACAGGACTGTACAGTAAAAATTTTCCGTTAGTCCATCGGCCAAAATCGAAAGTGGCGATGCACTGAGCTTCCAAGTAAACGCGACCATACCCAGCACGTAGAGAATATATCGGAGAACACTATTCCGTTTGTTGGACGTGCCGAATTCAGTCAAGGGCGTCGATACGAAGCGTTCTTTGTCGCCGAGTTTTTTTTTACTGTGCGCTCCATTTGAGAGTGCGCAGAGTTCTGATCGAGAGTTTTTTTAGCAGATTGTCAAATTTTTAAAGCTTTTAGCTGACAGCTGTCACGCTAAATGGCAATGTGACAGGCAATAGGTTTGGGTGCCTCCGTATGCCTTCTATCTTCCTTCGTTTCCCTTCGCTGCTTGGCCCACCACCTCAGGAGATGACGGCGAACCTGCACTAGTCAGCTCTCGCTAACCCCGGCAGTCTCTCTTTCTCCGTCTTAGCGCTCGTCATTCGTGTCCTTCTGCTGGGGCGAGCTTGATACTGCTGTGTCGTAGTTTTTAGGCAATAGTGGCTGTTGTTCGCGTGACGATCAGGATTTATGGAGAAAGACGACGACTCGCCAAGTTCTCATGCAGCCACAGACGGCGTAGCAATTCTTACCGCCAACCCTTCGAGCAACGGAACCGGCCTGAGTAGGAAACCGTGTCTGTGTAATTGTGCCACGATACGGATGAAACACACAGGCTCACATGTGACGAGATGAAGATAATCTCAACAGGCTCACGGAAATCCAACAGGCTCACGGGAACGCTGCAGTTGTGGTCGGAGACACAAAGTTATTTAGTCACTGGTAAATGTTGCATCGAGTGCTGTGTGCTCCAACACAATTGTAAAAATTATGAAAAAGCGAAAATAATGCAATGATGGGGCTGAGTGGTGTTCTGTGGAGGGGACGCCGCTGTCTCAGTATTCAAAGCCGGACCCTATATTTCAAGCCTGTGGTCATGCTCGATCATAAGTTCCTGTATGGCTCCAGTGCCTTCTCAGCATTGTTGGCGGGTAAGCACCTGGATCGCGCCCAAGTACTGCGGCTCTGGTGGCTTGAGGGATGTACGGGTGCTCGCCGTGCGCCCCTGCCGGCAATCTGCTAGTGAAGCCTGGTACCTACTGTGTCAGGGAGATTTTCATCCAGAAGCTGATCTTCCTAGGCTGGAGCTGCTACTCCTGTGCTAGCCCTCAACCACTGGCGCTCCTACTCGGCTCCAGTGTGGGCCATTAACCACCCTGCCCGATTTAGCACTGTTGCTATTCTACACCGTCAGCATTTAACTCTGAGGCCAGACCTTGATCCCTCCCACCATATGCTATCTGTCTGTCTGCTTCTCTCTCTCACACACATATGTGCCCGCATACACATAAACGCACATGCACACACACGCACATGCACACACACACACAGTGACACACACATACACATAGCCAACGTCTCTGTTCAGGCACTGTTTAATCCATCCAATATGAAGATAGACACTTCGCTTCAAAGGTCCAATAGCGGGATCGTGAATAACGCTGGTCCGATAACCCAGCCACCTTCTGCCACCTCCATACCGCCAGTCAAGAACTCGGCCGCACCTTCCCAAGGTACTGCGACGCCGATTCCGGGCAACAAGGGTATGGTCAATCCGACGCCAGTGTCGTATTTTGGGGCAATGCCATTGCCCTCTCGGTCTTCTGACGGTCAATGCTGAGATGCTTGTCAACGCGGACGCCACAGGAAATGGGTATCACCCATATCCAGTAGGTGAGGCTTTACGTTGACCTGCGTTTCGTTTCTAAATGTCTGTTAGGATGCAAGCTATTGGGAAATTAGGGGCCACATGCCACGTAAAACGGTAACGGTATTATCTAGCACAGCATTGAACTAAACAGTGCGCGCTGCACTCTGCCTGCATGATGCAGTCTAGTCGAGCACTGCGCGCTGCACTCTGCCTGCATGATGCAGTCTAGTCGAGCACTGCGCGCTGCACTCTGCCTGCATGATGCAGTCTAGTCGAGCACTGCGCTGTCCCAATGTCAGTATGTCAGTACAGTGTACACGTACTGCAGTGCAGAGAGCTGGCCCGACAGCATGTGCCGTGCACTGTTGGCTAGTAGTACGTGTAGTACCGGTACTAGCACTCAGTGGCAGTGCATGCGGCTATACGGTAGCTAGCAGCATAGCATTGGCCGGATTGTTTTGCCAACGCATATAATTATTATAGAACTATTACTTAGAAGGCTTTCCAAGTTGGAAGGCTGTTGGAGTGTGCGACGGAGATGTGCTGGAGCTGATTGCCAGTTAGTGGTAGAGAACGTCAGCACCGTTGCGTTGGTCAGTGTCATGCAATGTGATTATGTCATCGCATGAGCGGATTGGCCAGTAACTGATGGCGTAAGTGGACTGTGTAGGCCTAACTTGTAGTTTCTTGGCCCTTTGTCTTTCCTATAAAATATGGTCACGATTGCGATTGTGTACGTTGCACATTCACTGTTTCTGGACAAGTCACTACTGTAGGAGTGTTCACGTCATGCGCATTATTCCTCTCAATACATGTATTGCCAAGGGTGGATGGCGGTATGGCCCTCGCACAACACTGCCAACTGTTCCTCGTGCCGACATCACTCAGGCTGGTCCTGTGGACAACGTAGCCTCTCGAATGCGTCCGACTTGGATCATCTGCATCACCTGCGTGAAATCGCGCCAAGGGTCGCCTTCAATGGCAACATCTCGAACCGATATCATCATTTTATCCCTAATAAATGACTGAAACATTCAGTTGATGATCATCATCTGTTTTCTGATGTGCAAGCTCACCTCTGATGCCGATCACATCCTTGCTTAGACCCGGTCTGCTATTAGACCAGTCTGCTCTCCCTCCACTCGCTTCTAAATCCTACTTGGAGCAGTAAGGCTGTCACTGCTCCTACTGATGTCATTGTTGTGAAAGCAATATCATCGCCATTGGTGGTAATTTTCCACCATGAATGAATCATTAACAATCATCATCTATGTGTCACGGCCCAACCATCCTCGTAACTCCCCTCATTGTGACGAGTGCTGTATCGTTGACACCTACTTTGCTTCAATGTATTTTCGCTCCAAAGCTCTTTTGTTGCATAGTGATCTGACACAGTGTGCTATCGGGCAATATGGATAAGATTAGTACAGTCGGCATCGCCTATCGAGTGACCAGGTATAAGGATACTAGTACATGTATACCGGCTAAACGATATCGGAACACAAATAGCACTATGTGTACAATATTCCTTTCTAAGCTCACACTGTGCGTTGCGGATAGGTCATGCGTCGTTGCCAACTTGCCGCATGCAGTATGTTCATGTGCAGCAGGAAGGCACCACATATCGACTACTACTTATACTGTACAGCATTGTGTGCTTACATGCATCTACGGCCTTGTGGATGCAATTGAGTCTCACATACATGTACATGAAATATTGCTTGTAGTGCGGCATCAGGTGTTAACATACAATGGCTGAATATTTTTCTCGCAATAATGATCGTATTCACCACAAGTGTGTTTATGTCCAGAGCCAACTCAAGTCCTGTATTATTTATGACCATGACAACAAGTACTCCGGGCTGAAATTCTTCTATGACAGGCATGAACACTTGCCTTACAATTTTTCGTGGTTGTACGAAGTACATATCCCCAGTTGCATCAATTTTGCACCGTTTACATTGTAGTGCCACTACGGCCCACTAGTGGTATCACCTGCATGCGTATTGAGTCAAACAATGTTACCTCTGTATAAATGTTGGGCTAGCTTTTGGGCTAACCCTAGTTAGCGATAAGACCGATGCGCTGCTCTCTCTCTCATGCTAGCTGCGATTGAGCTGGCTTTACACGTGCACTCAACTGCTGCGCATGCGCGCCCAAATCGCCTTGGGTAGCTCTTGCTCCACCTCTTTGTTAAGATTTGAAACGTTTGTCTTAGCCACGGACCCATTCCCTGTCTCACTCTCCACACAATAATCCTCTCACTCATAAAAAGATGATCTTCACAATGACGTTGATCGGCAAGAGAGCAGGAGAAAAAACCCGAACTCCTAAACGACTACTTGTATAAGTCATGACTAGGATGTTGGTCAATAGTACTAAATTAAGAAAGAAGAAACGGCCAATACATTACGAGTTATGACTAACAGTCCACCAAGGTAACGCAGTCAGATAGTGCGACAACAAGGCACAAAACTGACAGGGATATTGAGACATTCAACGACCTGACACCTAACCAACAACCTTCCAACTTGGAAGGCTCCGGTTAAGTAAGTTCTGAAATGGGGAAGGAAAGCGTAACGAAAATGAGCATGAGCTACATGTATGTCCCACAGCAACAAAGAATGTGCTCATTACTGGATGATGACGAGACTAGTAAGACAATGGACACATCGGCCTCACTACAACTTGACGACGCAAATCAACAGACCACCCAACTTCGCTCAAAACTTGAGCCTCTCAAGAAAATAAACAGCGTTGCTCATTGCTCCTCTACTTAAACATTTTTGGATAAAGTAAATTAAATAAGCCACTTTACACAGGAAATCTACATATCTTCGCAATAAGCAAAAATGAGAAAAAATGGTAGAAAACTTCTGTGAGACCCACCTGGATGAAGCCCACCTGGATGAAACCCACCTGGATGAAACCCACCTGGATGAAACCCACCTGGATGAAACCCACCTGGATGAAACCCGTGACCCGATCATTTGTGACAGTAAGTGTGCATTTTAAAAGTAAAATCTAGTACGGAGGGAAATTGGGATGGTTGCAAATAAAATTAGTGACTACCGCTTTCCTTCAGAGGTCTTGTCGGTACCAGGCTGGAGGAAGTCTTTTCCCGACAAATCGCTGAAGTTCTCACATTCCATAATGGCACCATTTGCAACCTACACCAGAAAGCACAAAACCAATTGATTGTAGATACAATTTTCACTCAAATTATTTTATCACTAACTCCCCAACCCATCTGTGCGTGTGCGTATTCGCAAACTTTTGCGACAGTTTGCTTGCATTTCTATAAACACGTCCACCAGTCTGTTTCTTTCTAGTTAACACTGTGATGCACTGCTCTCACTCTGATTCTTGACTGGCACCATCAGCACTCGAAGCAGGAACCTTTGCCCTGATTCTTGACTGGCACCATGAGCACTCGAAGCAGGAACCTTTGCCCTGCCAGGTACGCTCTACAAGCCCAGCAGAAATTGCCCAATTTTTCAGCACTCACATACCACACACAAACTACTTCGGGGCCGCAAGTTGGTGAAATCTGACCCCAAATACAATGCTGGGGCCCTGGACCCGCTCCAATTGGCAATTCATCACTCTATTTTTTACAGGTGTAGTATGTTTAGCAGCATTCGTACCACTTGCATTGCGTCAAGGGCTGTCCACAGTGTGCCAAATATCCATTTTGGGTTGGATCGTTGTATTTCTCGCCGGCCGAGCGCAGCGAGATAGGCGAGAAATGATTTCTCGCGAAATATTTTCAGTTGCAAATATATATGGCATCTGGTGTGTTCTTTGTTGTCGCTTCTTTTCCTGAGTCTCACCAGTGTCATTGCCCTCCCACCCTTTATTTCTGTGCATATTATCAATGCTTTTTATCACTGTTTGCCGTGATGTGCTTGCCATGCCTACATGATGACTAATCGCCATTGGGGATATACACCCGTTTTTTTCCCTCACAAATGCGTCCGTCGGCGTGAGGGTTTTTCCCGGCTGGCTCGGTCCAGGAAAATTAATCTGACGGTCCCAAGTGGTTCTGCATCATGGCCTATTTCTGCTATCCACTGGCACGCCTATTCTATCTGAGACACTCTGTTCTCAGTCCTTGCTTGCTTCCATACCTCACTCGTTATCCGGTTCACATCTGGCTGCGGCCAACTACCCTTCACTTTGTGTGTTGTCGCTATTGCTGTCTATGTCTCTGTGTATGCCAGTATATGTGGAGCGAGAATCGCCTAGGTTAACTGTAGTACGTGGGGAGACCCAATGCAAGAAATACTGTCGACCTAATGTTTACGTCACTATTTTTTTTGCGATCTCTCACAACCAGCGAGTTTACGATGGCAAATGTTCGCGGAGCACTGTGGCCACACATATACACCCACTGTTGCGTTATGCTCTTCTTGTAGGGCATGTTACGGGCAGGATGAAGGTAGCACACCGTACACTAACCCGTAAGTACAGTGTCATACTGTTGCTTGTGGCCTCAGTCTTGCTGGTGTAGTACGAGTATACTGTAGCCTGCTATACTGTAGTACAGTGTTGCCCATAGTAACAGTGTGTACATCCCCTTGGTTCTTTGCACTGAACTGTTTTTTATTCTATTTCATTTTCACTGAACCGTTTTTATTCTATTTCACCTTCCCATAGCCAGGGAAGGAGTACTTTATCCCACACACCCGTCCTGCACAGATCGGTGACCTCAGATATGACACTGTGCACAAGAATGATGGCAAGCTGCAGCCCCGATATGTAGCACAGTCGCACTTGTTCATTTCGTCAGTTTAACACCCCTACCGCTCCTTGATTTCTCCGTTTCGCTGGCTCTCAGTGCCTCTCAATGCCTCGGTCTCTCTCTCTTTCTCTTTGACTATCTGCCTTTTCCTCTGTCAGTGTCTCGGTCTCATTAGCTACAGTAAGTCTACCAATTTCCAGGGTGTCTAATCTCAGCCTCAGAGGCCTAAATCAGCCTCAGAGGCCTAAATCAGCAGCCTCCGGCCCAAACAGATTTCAACCTCTGCCTGTCTACTGTGTAGCTTCAGCCGCAACAAAATTTAGGCCTCAAAAAGGCTTAGGCCGAAAAGAGCCAACAATTGTTGATTTACAGCATACAGCTATTACAGGCTCTTTAGCTACTACATGTAGTATATGCCCACACCAGACTTGTAAAATGCAATAACTCCTCTCCTTCTCCTTCTCCCCCCCCCCCCTCCCCTGCATTCCTTCTCTCCATATCAAATTCATTGGGGCAACATTGCTACATGCTCATAATTACCTATTTCACCAGACAGAATTCAAGAAAAGCATGACTTGGCTCACCTTCTCCAGGGGTGTGTACTGCGGGTGGTGATGGGGAAGGAGTGGGTCGTTAGAAGCTCGGTTGTACGCACAGAGGAACGCCCAGCGTCGGTTAGGACTGCTATTCTCATTGCTTTTGTGCAGCAGTAAGCTGTGGAAGAACAGTGCATCGCCCGGCTCCATTTCCACATACACCTCGTCCAATCTCTGCAATTGGGGGAGTCCGAACAGAGGGAGAAAAAACTCACGGTCTAATTCTCCCAACGCAAGGCAAAAGACATACTTTCTGTGTGCTTTCTGTGTGACATTTCAATTCCATGGTAACTGGCAAAGGAGGAGGAAGTGATATCCCATTCTCAAAAGTGGCCGTTCATAACACTGAGAACAACAAGTACTTGCACATCTAATGGGTAGGCGTGTAAAATATTTCCGCTCAAGTCCCTACTAGCTACTGTGTCTGTCAGTAGTGACTGACACAATGTGATGATCACTGCAAACACGATACTTAAATGTGCTACAAAAACTGGCTTTCCTCGAAATATGGGATGCACTGAAAGTTAGTTTGTTTGTGCATGGAAGGGCTCAACTAATAGTGTAATGCAGAAGATCATGATGTATTCTAAACGGAGGACCCAGTGGTGGGCCTCTCTCTGAACTTACTTTCTTGATCAGTTCTATGCGCTCAGCGTCCGCTCCTGTTTGTCCCGCAACTCTCAGGTGCTCGATGCGTCCCAGCAGGTTGGAGCCAGGGATTACCTGAAATCAGCCAGGCAATTATTAGCACACAACGTAGCATGCAGGTTTCATATGAGAATGAATATCAGAAAACCATAGCACCGAGCAAGCCAATGTGCCCTGTTAGGGCCGCAGCACAGAGCCGGTGCATTCCCACCTATCTGCATGATGCCTGCTACACGCCCTGCACAGTAGGGCAATACTGCTGGCGTCCAAATGTGCAGAAATGCCCGGGTGCCAGGGATACACATACTGTTACATACTGTTACTTACATACTGTTGTTGCAATGAGCAAAGATGCCAACCAGCGCACTTCCCCAACTGTGAATATCCATCTAACATACTCGTCCAGGGCTGAGTACCGAGGCCCATGGGTGGACGGCACCACGGCATTGTATTATTGGAGCCTACCGTGACCGACTCCATCCAAAAGTATATACCAACAGTGACGCATACATAGTACAGTCCCTACTGGTCATATCCCTAACAGTGGCCTTCAGACACACACCTGACGTTCCGTAACTACTCTTCTGTTTACTTCCCCAAAACCCACAGGCCTCTGGACTTGTTGCAGGAGCTCAACGCTTCTACTCAGTCGCAGGCGAACAGAACCACTGCGTCCTTTTACGAATATGGCTGGGTTCTAAGTTCCAAAGCAAAACGGGAAGCCCCGCAGAGCATCAAAGCTAACCATTGTGCAAGGAGTGCACACCGTGCTTCTCTTCGCCTGCCTTACCTGCATGCAGCCATTCTCCTTCTTGCACATGTCAACGGCAATGAATGCTGTAGCCATGTGTGGGTACAGGCAGCCGTTCATATACCAGTAACCATAGTCTTGGTGCCATACAAACGCACCGCCCGTGTATGCTTCTTTCATCATCAGCTTAGTGTGGTAATGGTAGACCTCACCACCTAACAGCTGCAGGGATCAGGCAGAGTAGTTCGCCAATCAAAACACAACCATAGCCTCATAGGCTTAACACGATCATGTACTGCATGCAGGATCCGGCGGGTGTGAACAAGCGGATATCCCAAGTCACCTACTGGTACATGTGCTTAGGAGAGATGACTTCACGGCTGTACTCAGTCTTCACATGATCGGCAGCAACGGTGGAGAACTACATACACTACATGTATGTATGCCCCCCCCCCCCACACCCACACACATCCACACATGGACACACACACGGCATATACACCTTGACAAATAACGAAAAGTTATATGACTAAGGTGCACTATAAATTACAATATTCAACGCTGTAGCAGACTGCTGTTTTTGGCCAAGGATGCCTCATCAGTGTAACTATGAGCTGAAATAGAGCTGAACTGCCAGTCATGGCACTAGTGCTTGGTTAAGGTAATACATACCTGCTCCATCGTTCCTGCCACTTTCTCTGCCCGGCCAACCATACCAGTCACGTCCGTACCAGGCTGATTCCACAGACACATACGCGATTGTCGGCCAGTACCGTCTGCGACAGCTATGGACTCCTGCATGATGGCGCCATTGTCCTCCAGGCCGAGGCGCACCCTGGCCAACTCGCCTGTGCTTAGCAAATTCCTGCAATACAACCAGACACACAGCTAACATGCATTGGTATAGACAGAGACTGTGGCAAGGGCAGATAGGTATAGCATGGTGTGAAGCACATTTCCTCAGCACAGTGGCATTGATTCGTTTGAACTTTGATCGGATCTCATTGAGCAGCACCGTACCGTGATCGTTGTTATTCAGTGGAGAATGGAGATATGCGCACGCTTAACCATGGTAACCAGCAGCTGCAGTCTATGCACACATAGTTACCATGGTAGTTATAGGGCTTGACAGTGATGACGTCAGAAGCCAATATATAACGACTTCTGGGTCGAATCGGATCCACTCTAACCACAGCAAAGCACAGTATCCTGTGGGTAGGCTTCTCCTTCCTCATGCTGGCATGACTTTCTCCTGCACCAGCATGCAATGGGTCTCCAGCCGGGAGGGCCCAGTTCAGGCACTACTGGTGCATGTGTCTACCTACCGATAAGGAAACCACTCCAATGTGTATGAAGTTATGAATCCCTGGGGGTAACGGGATCCAAGCGGGTCCAAAAGTCAGCGTCGCCATGAATCAGGCTGGGCTGGTTGTGACGGAGCACTTGTTGTAGGCCTAATCTACTGTATTAGTAAGGCCTCTGACTGGCACTGGACTCATCAGACACTGGACTCATAGAACACTTGCAAGGGAGCCCGAAACGGCATCCGAATGAATTAGCTTTCAGAATCAGAATGCGAAACCAAAACTGGAAGTGAACTGAATCTGAGTCAGAACCCGAATGAAAATGCTTAGACCAATCTCGTGGTTATCAGGCTGATTGAAGACTCTGGGGGGTCTTCAACCAGCCAACCAGAGCATCTAGATTATAGTATAATTATAGTAGTTTTAAAGAATCTTGGGGTGCTGGAGTCTGGGAGGGGGTGTCTAAAGCTCCATATACATGTAGAAGATGTGTACAATATTTATGGTACAGTCAGTATCGCCTATAGCGTTGGTGTTTGATTTTGAGCATTTTATCACTATAAGCGATATATTACTATGACCGATACTGCATGCAATGTATGCGAGTGGGGTGTCAAACGACTCAGCGCGCCGTGCACATACGCACTACATACATGTACATGTACAATGTCATGTACACGTAGCTCCTGACAAACAAAATCAGGATTTCCTCATGATGGAGGCATATTTTGGCAACTTGTACAAGCAAAACTCACCAAACAACACTCACTGGACAAGTTCTTCACGAAGAAGTAACACCCTGTTCTCCTCTGACATCGCTTGATTTTACATCAATCACTATAACCGATGCGAAAATAGTGTAATAAACGTCTTTTGAAATATGAATTTGATCACTATAAGCGATATATTACTATAGACGATTATTACTATATGCGATAACTGTGTATACTTAGTTATGGCAAATGAAAATGAATTTGAGAAATTGATCACTATATCCGGTATATTACTATAGCCGCCAACCTTATAGGCGATACGGACTGTAATACTATAATCTACAACATAAAAGCTTACAGGATCACCATACCAAGCGTATACAAACATAAACTTATCCTGTCAAGCAAGAGTACAATCATAGTACATAGCTCCATGTGCTCTTGTGCCAAAGCACATGGTCTTATGCCTTTAAAAGGAAGAGGGTATTTATGCCTTAAAGGGAAGAGAGTATTTACACCTAAAAGGGAAAAGGGTGTTATGCCTAAAAAGGGAAAAGAGTATCTATGCCTTAAAAGGGAAAAGGGTGTTATGCCTAAAAGGGAAAAGGGTATCTATGCCTTAAAAGGGAAAGGGGTAATTATGCCTAAAAAGGGTATTATTCTTAAAAGGGCTTAATACAACTTGCTACACACTTTCAAGCCCCATTACAGAACATTCTGATGTCTTCTCACCTGAAGACGACAAAGCCATTCTCTTCAAAAGCCGACTTCATTGCACCAGTCACATCGAGTCGACCACCATCATAGAGATAATCTAAACACAATACATGGGGTGAAAGTGGGACATGATATACGGTAAACATGTAATTTTAGGTGCATTAAAATTTCGTCGCCAGAGACCTGCCAGGTTTCAGGCGTAATGTAGAATTAGGTGACCAGCGTTCCCTTCACACACGGTGCATACTCTAGTGCCTTTTAGGTGTAGTTTAAATTTAAATGCCTGGTTTCTCTACCGAAATCACCGAAATTAAAGTTACACCGGAAATTACATGTTTTACAGTATTGCATGTGCTGGATTACGTCACACGATATGACTGTGATCAGCTGATCACATAGTGTCCACAAGACTTTTAAAAGTGCAGTTCAGGTCAGGGAGTAGTACTAGATATTGTACTACTCCCTGACCTGGTTCAGGTGTACCAGTCATCTTGGCTAGGTAGTCATACCACGGTTGTATCAAGCCACTTTCACGGAGTCCCTCACATGCATCACACATGCATCACACATGCATCACACATGGTGCTATCTGCCGTCCAGAAAATTAATCACACCATATTAGAGATCGAGCCAGCTCAGAACAGACATACAGGCAGACAGACACAGACATCGACACGCATGCATGAACATGCAGAAATACTGAAATTCCTTTGGCAGCCCGTCATGTATTTTATCTTTATACACGACACATACCGTACTCGCGCGATTAGAGCCCTTTCTTGAATAGTGCCCTATCTCGAATAGTGCCCTAGTCTCCAAGAGCCAGTGAAAAATAAAGCCCTCTCTTGAATAGTGCCCCCCCCCCCCCCCCCCCGGTCTTGTAACCAAGCCCATGTGCAAGTTTGGTGTTCTTTTGCTAATGTTCTTGGCCATTGCTTTGCACTGGTGTTTTCAGGAACAAAATCGCAGGTCTTGTTCCCGTTTCTGTGGAGTCGTGAGCGTTTGCAGTACACTTTAGGCTCTGTTTTTCTTTGTTTTATGCTGGATGACGCAAATGTACCAGCAATGAAACAATAGTGCCCTCTCTTGAATATTGCCCCATCTGTGATGGACATTGAAAAATAGTGCCCCAGGGGCACTAATCGCGCGAGTACAGTATCCGGGTATGACCGTGCTCATCACACCGGGACTTCCAGGGTTTTTTTTTTAAATAAATGAGCATTATCTTCGTTTAGACTCATGGTCTCGTACTATGAAGAAGAGAAATACAGTAGGCAGACTCAGAACGATTGCCAGGCAGTTTAGCGGCTTCAAAAGTCAACCCCATTGCCTCGGCTTAGTTGAGCACTCTTTCTGGTTAGTGTCAAAGTTATCCGGCAGACCTCATGCAAAGCTCGCTGTTTATGCTTTTGATGCTTTGAGCAGCTTTAGACATGCGTTATTGTTCACTGCACCTCAAATCATTGCGATCGGTTCGGCCAATCACTCTGAGCTCCACTGATGAGACCCGTAACAAGCGGTCGAAGTAGCTAGCTGTCCGGAGATGGAGTAACTGAATCATACTGTGATGGGCTATGAAACGTAGCCATATACTTAGCTATGTTCACATGACACTGCCGATGTTGCAGTATCGTACAGTAAAACGGGTAATTTTTGCACTGGTGATATTTTAGCAATTTTAGCGAAAGGAGTGTTTTGCGAAAGTTTTGCTGCGTGATCGTGTATCAAAATTTTGCATGTACAGTACTCATCCTCTTTTTTTTAAACTCTGAAACTCGGATCGCTAAAATATTTCATCGTGAATAGGTCCAGATAGACAATGCTAAAAATTTACCCGCTAAAATTAGCCGTTCAACAGTAATTTTACTCAATCTGCGGACAGAACTGTTTCGTCTTTTTTAGCCCATCGTTGCAAGAATCGTTTTGCTTGGCGTGCACAATATTAAATTTTCTAATTTTTGTACACCGCCGGACTAACCTGTCCCTGCAGGGAGCGGGGAGGAAGGGTTGGCCGACAAGCACCGCCATTGTACGCCCACACCTGAGCTTGCCAGACGCCGGGCCTGGCTGACGTAATGTCGTAACATAGTCGCTAGATTCTTGATGGTAGCGACAGGAGAATGTTGGTCAGAGAATGGTCGATAGAAGTCTGATTTTCATCACCGAGTGAAGGTGTCCGGAGTCTCTGTACTGCTGTCAGAACGTGACCTGGTGAGCGCGTGGCTCCTGCAGAGTCCTGGTCTGGTCTCCCGACATAGAACAAGAGCTATGGAAGCGACGGCACACAGCCCAAACGACAGTCCTGGGACTGTCTGTGTCAGGTGCGCGTGCCATCACTGAGAATGCACGAACATGCAACACTACAAAGTACAAACGTTCGAATTTCGTGTGTGACAACAAAAAGCCAAAAAGCTGATTTTCGTAGTGAAAGCTTGCGCCGCCAAGGCGTCCTGGTCAGCTGGACTTGCTTGCGGATGCCACCACAGACCACCACAAACACTAAAATCACGTCCATTTGTACATTACGGTGTACTGATACCGGCAATAGTAGATCTACTAGCGGAGTGCACGGGTAGTCGGGTACCCGTGCTACCCGTAAGGACCTCGGGTAAATGGGTACAGAATAGTAACCGAAATCCCGAAGTCGCAGATGACATCATGATTGTACAGTGCACGTGTACAAATTCATGTAATACTCCGCATGTCTACTCAGTGTGTAAGGGAAGGGGTGTATTGTGGTGTTACCATGGAAACAGCACCCGATCGGGTACCCGTGGAAAACTACCCGAACCCAATACCCGAAGAAAATGCTCAGCGACCCGACTCGGCCCTAAATAGTACATGTACACACTCAATCTGGGCATCAGCCTGATCAGGTCCAAATAATGAGACAAGTGAAAAAAGGTTTTATTGAAAAGAGGAAGAAAAAAGAACTGTGTTGAAGGCAGCAAATAGACCTGATTTAGTATGGCCTGGCACCCGGTCGTACCGGATACATTACATGGGGGGTTAGGTCCTGAAAGTGTGTGCGATAATGAGCGTTCAGGTAGGAATCATTGAAGAATGGGTTAAAAAAAGGAGTGAAAACCCGGGAAGAGACCAGCTTATCCATCTAAAACAGCATTGCGGAAGAGTATGTTGAGATACATTGTACTTAAGAATGGTGCTACTCCTTGGACTACTGAGCAGGAGTATTGTGGTGAGGTGGCGATGATCAGTGCATGGGACACTCACAGGTAGCACAAGCAATGCCACCGCTGGGCATGACGTCAAAATCAACAACACAGATTAGTATGTGCACTGGGTTGTATTTTACTGAAAAGAGCTGATTCCGCTTGTAAATAGAACATTGAACTAGGCAGAGGCCTTCTTTAGACCACACGTGTATAACTTTCATGTGCACTCAACCGGACAAAATATTATGTACAAATATTTTCATGATTACTGCAGTCTCACTAATAGTATTAGGCAGAGGCATCGAAGAAGCTGCGCAGGATCCTTTCCACATCGGTGACCTGATGGCGAATATACTTGCTAGGGTTCTTAGTGAATGGAAGATTTCCATACCTGTAAACAGGAAGAGGAACACACACATACACACACACACACACACACACACACACACACATACACACACACACACACACATACACACACACACACACACATACACACACACACATGCGCACACACACACACACACACACACACACACACACACACACACACACACACACACACACACACACACACATACACACACACACACACATACACACACACACACACATACACACACACACACACATACACACACACATGCGCACACACAAACACGCATACACACATACACACACATGCGCACACACAAACACGCATACACCCCGGGTGTACATACACACACATGAACCGCACCGTATAATGATCAGGGACGGGTAAAGGTGTCCAGACGGCATACGTGTACCGGCCTCGGATCATTGGGTGGTGCACTGTATGAGATGTGAATTGGCAAGTCTTACCAAATTCAATCAAATGCATATGTACGGTTTCCTCACTACTCGTTTGCTTGAAGCCAGAAAGGGGTTTACAATAATGGTCAACTCCATCCAATTGAATTATTGCCGCGGGAAAATGAATTATTGCCGCGGGAAATCAAACTGTCTCATGAATAGAACATAGGCGCAGCGGCACTCACTGCACAGCATAATACCCGCAGTCCTAGGGCCACACACTGGCCCTCCGGCTGGTATTGTATTGATCAAGTCAGACTTCATGCAACAGCACTGTACATCTGCCCCCTCCCCGGGTGCTGTGTGTACGCAAGTACTTCAGTCTTTAGTGCATGGGCAAAGAACCTCTAAAGACAACTCTAAGAGTCATGGCTAATTGAAAGTAATGTGCAGTTAAAGGTACAGAGAGAAAAGTGTGGCGTTCGTCAGTATCACCCAAGACTGCAACTCAACTGTACATGTGCAGTGTGCAGTGCACACGCAAGTGACATGCACATTCCTTACACACATCCATCTACAACATGCATGCACTGGTCATGAGTCATGACATACCTTTCTAGGAGAGTGCGGTAGAACGGGACTATCAACTCAATGTTCTCCTGCCGAACACTTTCACGGAGACTTTCGTCAGGAATCGCATAGGAGCGCTGAATGCGGAAAAGGTCATCCACCTCCGTGTTGAATCCCTAGGAGATCCAGGTGATGGCAAAGGCAGCAAGGAAACAGAACAATGGTTATCATCATGCAAGACAGCAACACAAATCATTCATGAGGTGGCTTCATTGCATGCATGGAACATAATTAGGTTACTGTCAGGGAACATCGTTTTGGCTGTGCCTCGCATGCGTAGCAGATTCAATGAAAATTGCATTGTTCTCATTGTTTGACCCGCCTCCTGCCAACAAATTCGGCCAGAAAAGATGACAAAAAGGGAGTCAGAATTCACACCATGCGGCGGACAGAGTTAAGACGGGTCCTAATATAGGAGTCACATGTCTGAATTCATAAAATACAGGAGTAGACTTTTGAACCATTGTGCACTGAGCCAAAATGGGGTTTTCAAAAGCCTTGAGAGCTATTATTCTAAAATAATTGAAAATGACCGGTACCTTGAACTTCTCCTTCACGCCTTCCCGCTCACTTTTGCTCATTGTCTGCAGCAGAAAGGAAAACAGCGAAAGAACATCAAACTAGTTAGGAACACATCAGTCTCTCCCTCTCTCCTCCCCCCCCCCCCCCCCCCCGAGAGATATTGCAGCCTGTGAAATGAATAAGCATCAACAGCACTTCAACGTGTCTCAACTTGCATGCATGTCACACTTCCCTTCGAAGATGGTTACATTGGAAATGACTCAAATGAGTAAAAAAAACTGACTGACCTCCTTCGGTAACTGATCGGACACCATAAGACAATTTAACGCTTTGCTCCACCTAGCACAACAAACCAGAGAGCAACACATAAACAAGTCTTGTACCCCCTACTGCATGTAAACAGTGTCAAGAGTACATCATAGTAGCTATGGTAACCACGTTAACCATGGTAACCATGACAACACAACATCTACACTCCATACCCTACCGTAAAATTGGGATGACCAGGCTGGGTCTAATCACCCTGCTGTGCTGCACCATGCGACACAGAATTGAGCCATTGTTCGTGGGCATGGATGCATTGGATGCCAATGCTGATCGAGACATGGCTATTTATAGGTTCTGGGCAATGAGCATTTGAAGTTCGTCTGCCTGTCAGCCAAAGGCTGTGCACCATGCAAACGTGAGATTCTAAACGCCTCGGATTTAGCAGCTTTTCATTCATGCCAATGATCACATCCCACATCCCACATCCCACATCTCTATCCATTGATAAAGTTGTGGTATGCGGCATGTGATGATCAGTCAGTCTAGTCTGAACTAGTAGATGGATAGATGGCTAGATTATGGATGACTTGATCCATCTAGCCGTCCAATGCATTACAATGAAAAAAAGCTCACACACACACGCATGCGCACACACCCCTCCTTCCTCGTCCACGGCTGCTCCAGCCACCAATATAATGGCGATCGAATATTATGGTGGCGGGCACCCGCCGACTATTTTTGCAAAATATCAAAGCAGCATTATTTTGCATGTATATGAGGATGGTGGACAGTTAGTCATAACTTGCAACATTTTGCTTTTTCACCATTATTTTTACGATAAAATTTAGATGAGTTCCTTACATTCTTCCACAGTTTACTACCGCTAACCTTACATTGTGTGTGGATAAATCCCCAAGGAGAGACAGCGGACATGTCAAGCAACAGTTTGGCACCAATCATGCCTTGCTTGCTCGAAGGAGAAGGAAGTTGCTTTCTGTTTTGGCGCAGTGGAATGTACAGACTGAAATTGGCGTCAGTACATTTCGTAGCTAAAGTACTGTCATGGGCCACTTCTCAGTCATCACTTGCTGCTTGTATGGTGTGGGTGCATTTCTGTTAGAACGAACTTTGGCTATAAAGAACTAATTCTCCAGCACAATGGTGTACGTTATATCAGGAGTCGACTGTGCGTGCACCCAATTGCTCTTCATCTAAAAGAAAACTATCGGTATTCAGGGATGTTAGACTTACACTTTCTGGTACTTCATTCTTTCCCTGCCAACCATATCATTGTAGTTGTCCTCAATATCCGGTGTGTTCTCCTCCAGCACCAGCAAGACATCCGTTGACCTAGCAATACATTGGCAAAGGGCAACACAACATCACATCATGCAGATAACAGTTGTTGTAAAAGCCATATATATATATAACGAAGTGCTAACTCTAACAAGTTAACAAGGAGAAATATGTCGTTAAAATAGAAATCGATACATATATTGTCCTATTGAGCGTTGAGAATGAGTGAGAATCTTTACCTTTGGTACACGTAAACTAGTCAATTTTGGGAAATGGTTATATATGCGCCAGAGTTAGAATAATGGCTGGTTTACAGTAGTACAATGGTAACAAGTGAAATCCAAATCCCAGCGTGTCACAGTTGTACCAGCTTTAGGGGGGGGGGGGGGGGGAGATACCAACCCAACACGTACTTTGAACACAGTGCATGCAGCACGCGGCCGCTGGATTTCACTTGCCAGCCTTGCGCATGCAACAGCGCACGGGCGGCAAAGTCAAGCACAACGCCAAATGCAAGGCCTAAGTCGAAACTCTGCATGGAGTGTTGCTAGCGACACATGCACTCACGCGGCTCTCTTTTCCGCCGGCAAGTCTTAACCGCCAGCCAGACTGCTTGAGGCGGTGCCCATTATTTCAGAGATCTCGTATGCAAGAGGTAGGCCGTGTACAATACAAAGTCTTGATATTAGAACCATAGAGCCAGGGAGAAGCATTCCTTATAGCTGAATATCAACATGATTTTCACCAACAGCAATAGAGAGGGGACAAAAGGAGGAGGAGGAGGAGGAGGAGGAGGAGGAAAGGCAGAGAGAAGGAAGAATCTATTCCTGGTGCAGTTCTCACATACCCTGGTCAACAAGGGTCGTGAAAAAAACCTTCAAACTCGTTCATGCTCCCCAGTCCCTTCTTGTCTAAACTGAACACTGTCGTTTTGCATTGGTGTGCGTGATCAAGAACTAGTAAGTATGGCCCAAACTCTCAGATTCCACCAGTATTGCTAACCAGTGCTAATGGAGGAGTTTCACCACCAGACTTACTTTGTCAAAGACTTGTGTATGAAGTGGAAATTGTTGAGACGGAAGATGGTCTGCAGTGCCGGATTTTCGTAGCAATTTGATTTGTGTTCCAGGTTCTGTGTCAGGACATGCAGTACCTTGTCTGTAACAAGAAGAACATTTGTTTACCACATCGGTAAAACAGTACAAACTCATGTGTAGAAAGAAATGCCCTACCAGTTGAACGCCAATCAATAGTACGCAAAATGCCGCTGGGCTGGACATGCATCGGCAAGGTAGTGGATACGAACTGAAGTCATGAGGCTTTTCACAATCATTCTTTCTTATGTTGCTGTGTCCAGGCCGTCCGTGACATTGCTGGAGGCAACACTACATCGGTTCTGGGAAGTGGAGCACTACGGCATGAGCGATGGGCTTTAGGAGCATGGCCCATGGTCACGAAATGATGAAAAGGCAGTCAAGACAGTGACAACAGGCCATGGAGATGGTGCATGGTCAATACCAGGTCTGTATCCCATGGAACAGCTGGTAAGATAAGCCGAGTAATAACTTAAAGCGAAGTTTCTTTAGGGGATGATCCCTGTCACTGGACATGCTATCAGGCAGTGAAAGTGCCTACTAGTTCAGTGGATGGAACAATGCATTGGACTACAGGGTTCTAGCCAGGTCAATATAGTAGGGGGGGGGGGGGGGGGTGGTGGGCATGGGAAAAAGTTAAAGTTACCCCATGACCCATTTTTTCCATTGTCCAAAATTGTCTTGCCATGCAAAATGTAACATACAGGGTGAACCCCGACTTCACCCCTCACAAATGTGCCTTTATGAACCCTCTAGTAGTGACTATCGACTGTATTTTCGTTGAATGGCATGAAAAAACACAAAAATCGGAAAATGAGTAGGGGGGGGGGAGGCACTTTTTCACAGGGGGGCGCGCAAACGGAGTAGAAGGGCGCTGCGCCCCCTACCCCTCTTTGGCTAGAACCCTGGACTATGATCCAAAGACAAGAACAGAAACAACTGGTAATTAGTACAGCAAGTTCCGAAACAGAACAGGTGGTAACATCAGTAAAGGAATGCCATGACCGGGACCAAGACTCACTGAAGTAAGAGCCAAGAGCCTTGCGGGATGGTGCGCATGTTCGACTTGCCTGCGCTGCTGCGTCTATGACAAAAATACAAACAACATCACAGTGGCATTCATTCACTCCACAACACTTGACAAGCCAATCAAGGCTACCCAAATGTAACAACCACCGAGAGGAGATCAAGTGAGGATGGATACCATTGGCACACAAAGTTGGCGTTTGCTGCTCATAGCATTCAGGGTGCTTGCAACACTTACCATGAGGAAGAAGAAGCTTGCCGATGACATCCTTGAGCTCCATGCATTGTTGAAGGAAAGATATCGTCTACAAAACAAAAGCACGTTAATTTAAAATGGTACATGGCAAGCAGACGCCCAGGTTCACACAGGGAACAGAATGTGGGGTTAAAAATGGCACACTTCATTTCCCTTGCTACACGGTGAGTACCGGACAATGGCTAGGCTCAGGCCTCTGCTCGTAGGGTGCTGATCATGTGTTTGTACCTTCCAAGATACTGTGGTACAACCCTACTTGTGCCGATGAGACTAAGCGGGGACACAGCCAAACAGATCACTACTAGTGCTGACATGCTAGTGCCTTAGATATGCTGCATGCTCTGCACACACTTGAATCATGCATAGTACTGTGTACAGTCCACAGTTCAGTAACCTGTTGACTTACACTGCTGGTAAGCTCATGCACTGTGCCATCTTTGGGCATGTTAGAGACCTTGTCTGGATCAGCCTGCAACGAGTGAAGGAGGATAGATGGGGAGAGAGAGAGAGAGAGAGAGAGAGAGAGAGAGAGAGAGACGGAGAGAGGGAGAAGAGAGAGACGGAGAGAGGGAGAAGAGAGAGAGGTGAGAGTGAGCAAGCAAACCAACAAGAGCGGCATAGTTGAGGAATGGTATGCGAGGAGGAGCAAAAAGAAGGAAGAGGAAGAAGACAGTAGGGACAACAGCTAAGTCTGCCAATGGGCAACTGTCATAGAGCATGTTTGAGTAGTGACAGAGCATTCGGATGGCAACTGAGAGGCACCATGGGGCAAGGATAAGAATGGTGTACACAGTGGAAGGAACAAAATGGACACAATATACAGGCCAGGAGACCCTGCATGAGTACTACGCTATAGCAAAACCATTACAAACATGCCATTCAAAATAGCTATATTCTTTAGCTACTCATGATGGACTTGATGAAGGGTGGTTGGCATTAAGAAGGGTGCAGATGCATGTATAGAAAGTTTAGGAACATACCTTGACGTAATCACAGAATTCCATAAGAGATTTATGGCACTGGAGAAACACAGACATTTATAACAGAGAAGTAGATGTTAAGAGAGAGCTGCCATGCAAGTATTATAGTTTGCTAGACAGACACGTAGACACTGCCTGCCTTCTGTTGTGTACTCACCCACGATAGTACCCCCTCCCCACCCCCCCCCCCCTCCCACCCCCACTCCATAGTGCTTGTATAGCAACTGTGCCCAGCAGCTGCAAAGCCGGGCCATTACCAACAGGTTCCAAAAACACTCTCCTCTCTGCTGTGCAGACCTTCAACACACAGTACCAAACTAGCATAGTATATCCATATACCAACAAACTATGCCAACCACCTTCTAAAAGCCCATGAACTGACCGTGTTCTCAAACAATGATGTGAGTACAGAGATGCGACTAGCTGGATCTCCCTGCAAGCCCTGTGAAAAAGAGACAACAGAAGGGAGAGAGCAGAATGGTAAGGGCAAAATATATGTCTGCAGACCTGGTATACACAAGACCTGGCTACAAGACAAGGTCAAAGGACACGGGGGGGGGGGGGGGGGGGTCGGGGGGGCCGGGGGGGGGGGGGGGGGGGGTGCAAAGTAAACACAGTGAAACGCACTTCGTTCCTCCAGCACAAAATGCATTTTGCTCGCAGGTCAGCAAAAGAGCAATACAGGAACACACAAGCGTCTCTACTCTCATGCTTGCCTTTCTAGTCTCTCACTGTCTCTTAGCACACCACTAGCCTATAGCCAACCAGCCAACAAATCTACCAAACTCTTGCTCAAAGAGTTATGTTTTATGATGCTTCATTTCCAAAGCTTCATTTCCGATGTAGATCCGACGATAGACACTCATACCTTCATCAAGTCTTGATACTGAGGAAGGAGTTGCTGTAGATGCTGAAGGATCTTCAGACCCGACAGAACCGCCTGGTAATCGTTCCTGGATAGTACTCTCTTCACAGCACTGTTGAGATTCTGAACAGCACATGATAGTATCATTCAGAGAAGAAAACAGAGGCAGAAGAATGGCTGTTTGCTTCTTCGTACACTTATCATCGGCTGGATGCTGAAGAACGGGGTCAGCATCGTAGCCTAGGCCAGTCCTATTTTTCATGTACTGAAGTTGAGTTGAGTCACTGCATACATCGGTATGTTGTGCTTGGTGATATCGTAGTATGTTCAGCGTTCTTTGGCACCCAACAGCTCTGTGCCGCATAGACTAACTTGTACGCAACGTTACCTAACGGAAATCTTCATAATGCTCACTATCAACAACTTGAAGTAGGTATGAAAATACATGTATGCAAGTACAGTGCTTGAGCTGCCAAGGCAGAGCGGTCCAATAAGCGGCATGCAGGATGACTGAACGCCGGATAAGCGACATGCAGTTGTACATCCATGATATCCATTGCTTGTGCAGATCAGCGGAGCACATGACAACACGTGCATCGGCACAACAACCGCATACCTCTCCCTCCGCTATGAAGAAATCCAGCGGCGTGGAGAGCAATTGCTGAAAACAGGTTTTATGGTGCTGGGGTGGTATGATGGCCTGCATCAGTTGACGTTCGCTCTGAGAATGAGGCAAGTAAAGTGGAAAAAAGCAAGGATAGGTTTGGGTTTTTGTTAGCAGCCAGGATCTCAGTCAGCGCTGCATAAAACCAGCGCCCGGGCCGTCTATAATGACACGTATTCTCCAACTCATCACGAGTTGCTAAGCGCAGGCGATCATGCATGCACACAGTATAGTTAGTGGTAAGGGGCTTAAAGGGCTTAAAGGGCTTAAAGGGCTTAAAGGGCTTAAAGGGCGGGTGTAGCAACCTTCTATTGTTGATCTTAATGCATGCCCAAATTGGGGAGCAGCACGTTAAATATGTGACCAACTTTCTCTCTCTCTCTCTCTCTCTCTCTCTCTCTCTCTCTCTCTCTCTTGTTTTTAGGTTCCTGTATCTTTGCATCTTGCCATGGTTGGCTATCCTTAACCTATGTCTCTGGCTCATCCCGCTATTCGTGGTCCTTGTGATTGTGATTGTCACTATAGCTGTGACAGATGCCATAAGCACAATGTTCGCCACAATATTGAAGGAGCACAAACCAGAGCACAGCGGACTATCACTTACCACCAACAGCTGGTAGAAAACAGAGCAGCTAGTCACAAAGGCGTAGGTGCCTTCCACGCTGTAATGCAACACAAGCGAAAACTGTAAGCTCCAAATGCCAGCGTGCATGCATTGCGTAGAGGTATTACGGTGATTATTACACAAAACCAGAGGCGCTGGCAGTGCAGATACAAATGATTGGTGCTTTTTTGTGTTGAATCATGCACATGAGAACTGCAGGTAAGTCAACTTCAACATGGATTTTCTTCACCGGCATAATGATATTACTGTCAGTTATCAAAGAGTGTCAGTCGTCATCAGGAGCATTAGACACACACTGGTTATATCATGGTTCAGCACAATGCACTAATAATAATGATTAGCAGTGTTTTAAGCACACCCCATGTACCAATATACTGTGAGACTGCAGATTTAGGGAATTTCAAGCTGGAAGCAATGAAGAGCAACATCCGGGAAATACATTGTTGGGACAGGCATTTAGAATGATCAGCACAACCGGTCAATCGAAGTAAGTTACACTGCACCGTTGGTACTGTGGCTGTTTAAGGTGGTTAACATGCACAATAAGCGGCATGCATCACCTGTTCCTCAAATGCAATGATAAGATCATACGTACATGCAAGGCACCGATCATCGCCTAATAGCATGTTTGCATGCAGTTCTGATGGACAGGTTATGCAAACCAGATACAAGTATATAGAACCACGCAGACATGCCCACATGCGTGCACAAACAGATACACACACACACACACACACGCACACCTCAGACCTCAGACATGCCCATCGCGGAAGCGATGATAGCGAACAGCTATGTTAGACATAGCAACTTGTGCTGGGATTACACCATACACACACATACACACACACACACACACACACACACACACACACACACACACACACGCATGCACACACACACACACACACACACACACACACACACACACACGCACACACACACACACACGCACACGCACACGCACACTCACACAACGATACACACCTTCCCCAGTCCTTTCCCAAGACGGTTGGCACAACATAGCTGCATATACATGGTCAAGCAGAACATGGCAACATGTTAAAGGCAAGGCAAAGTAGCATGATCATATTGCTACACCTTGCCTAAACTGTTATGTTGTGAAGACAGGGCAAGCCGCTCTTCTGTCAGGACTCATGGCACAGGTATATGCATAAAGTGCAATTTAATACGCACACATTTTAGTACCCCCACTGGTAGCGTCTGTGTATTGTGTTGCAGCCACAGCATTCCCCTGTGCCTGGTCTGCATTGAATACAGTCATGTGTGAACTAGACAAAGAATGCATTGAAACAGTGTACTTGCCATTGTAGACAAGCTACACATGCAGTGCACAGATTGTCATAAAGTGGATGATCCCACAAATTCAAATGTGGTATTGTTTCAAACGATAACTTAGCATAGATCTCTATCAGAAAGCGTCTTCTGCCGCTGGATAACTAGAAACATCACTAATCACATGGTCTCAGGGATCTTGGAGGTTGGAAAGTGAAGATTTTACTGTAGAAGACAAGTACATGTACACTGGCAGTCAAGTAAGAACTGGAACTAGAACTGGAACTAGAACTGGAACTAGAACTGGAACTAGAACTGGAACTAGAACTGGAACTAGAACTGGAACTAGAACTGGAACTAGAACTGGAACTAGAACTGGAACTAGAACTGGAACTAGAACTGGAACTGGAACTGGAACTGGAACTAGAACTGGAACTAGAACTGGAACTAGAACTGGAACTAGAACTGGAACTAGAACTGGAACTAGAACTGGAACTAGAACTGGAACTAGAACTGGAACTAGAACTGGAACTAGAACTGGAACTAGAACTGGAACTAGAACTGGAACTAGAACTGGAACTAGAACTGGAACTAGAACTGGAACTGGAACTGGAACTGGAACTGGAACTGGAACTGGAACTGGAACTGGAACTAGAACTGAAACTAGAACTGGAACTAGAACTGGAACTAGAACTGGAACTAGAACTGGAACTAGAACTGGAACTAGAACTGGAACTAGAACTGGAACTAGAACTGGAACTAGAACTGGAACTAGAACTGGCCTTGACTACTGTAGCCAGCACACCGCAGCCCAATGGACCTTCCATAGAAGCATGCGGTAAATTTGTTTATTGCGGCACCGCACCCAAGGAGCATTCCATACTTCATTGATCAGTACTCTAGCACATTGGACTCCTCGGCAGCATGACATTGTTGCCATAGCATTGTGGCTATGGCAATATTGCCATGATAGTCAACACTCTGCAGGCCGTAGTGATTACCAACCAAATCAGGATATAAGAATGACCACTCCTCCGCGAGGTATTATGTATGTAAAGAAGAATTCACCACGTCAGTAGGTCATTATTCAACAGTAAGAGGAGTGGCAATACAGCAATACAGCAATACTGCAGGCAGGTCAAATGCACAGGTGGTAGAGTATACATGCTGTATTGCGCTTGCCATGGTTATGAACATATCAGCATTGACAATCATGCAACGGCAATGGGGAAAGACACGACTTTCATACGCATACCCAACATCACAAACATCACTCTCGATACTGACAAAGGGATCGATTATGAGAAACACAACCTGCCTTACCTCTCCTCGAGTGGTACCTGTGCACTGCGAGATGCTGAAGGGAACACAGAACAGAAGAGCAACAGCTCAGCAATAGCAAATATTCTTAGCACCATGCATACAGAAACCAATCTTGGTGACATCATCACAGTGAGCTGAACTCTTTACCAAGTACAATCGATATTAATTTTTTCAAATATAAAAGGGTACTGGGGGGGGGGAAGAGAGAAATGGAGTGTTCTTTATGCAAGCGCCTCCTTTTGAGTACCGTAATCTCGCGCATATAAGACCATGGTCTTATAATCGAAAAGTCGCTGCTTTCGGTCCTTTCATAAAGTGCATTTTCATTCGATTATAAGACCATGGTTTTATATGCGAGAGACAAACATCGCATCGACATGTACATGTGTCAGTACGCATATTATTGGTTAATGCCAGTACAATGGAACCATGATGAACCTCGCGTGGTTTTGTGATGTTCATTCACGTACAGTCAGACCTTGCTTATCCAGTCCTCGTTTATCCGGGTCCCTCGCCATCCGGAAGAAAATCGCTGGTTACCGATGTGCAGCACATGTTATGCATACAACATAACCGGATCTCGCGATCCGCATACCAGTGCATGATTTTGTGTACAAACTGGTTAAAATGTGTACAAAAAGCTTCGTCGTATCCGGTTGCATGTGGCTTGCAGAAGCTAGAATCAGGGAGTTGTACAAGCAAATGAGGTCCTTGACCTGCTGGGTGCATGCGGACAGCACTCAGTTGCATGCACGTGTCATTTTTCTCGCTTGTTTTACATACTGTGCACGCTAGTTGTACTGCATAGGACCCGTCTACATGTATGTACGATGCCATTATTTTTGACATGCCACATGCATAATTATACAGTATGTGTGTTCAGTTATCCGGTTCCCTCGCCTATCCGGATATTTTGTGGAAAACAGATGTGTGCGGTTAAGCGAGGTCTGACTGTATACGTGCATGTTCTTATAAGCGAGAGTGCTCTTACATGTATATTCGAAAATAAGAACACGTCCTTAAATGCACGAGATTACGGTACATGTACTTGTTGGATAGTGACCAGACTTGCTCTAAAGTTAATAAACAATTCATGGATCCACTTCTAGTAAACATTCCCATGCCCGGGTTAACAAGATATTTAGCTGGCAGCCTATGCCGAACGGGGGCACGTGGGTGTATTGCCCTTGACCGTCAAGCCAGAGTACGACCCGAGTAATCACTGACGGAAGGTGCATTTCAAGGAATGATCCGACTACAGCCTACTGGTGTGTGTGTGTGTGTGTGTGTGTGTGTGTGTGTGTTGATGCAAATAAACAATACCTGCTGTAGGCGTGTGCGTCTTGTCTCTGAGCGACATTCGGCGAGGCCGCTGAGTCTGCCTGTGAACACACAATACATTAAACACACGACAGACTGTGCTTGGAAAAGTACACAAGTGTGAGAGACCGAAAGAGATTACCAATCGGAGAATCAATGAGTATGGAAGTAATCCATGAAGCTTGCTTGGAATAGGAAGCAGGAGGAACTTTTAAAAGATAATTACCGCCGGCATGCAATCAATCCATGGACCAGACTTTCCAATTTTGAGTCCTCAAGCTTATGAATACACACAATCCACATGATCAAACAATACTCTCGCAGTGACTGGTATGTGGTGGTTATGGTGGTTGAAATTATTGTTATGCTAGGCATTCTCTGGAGGAAGTGTTTACAGAAGAAGTTAAGAGATTCCGTTCACAAAAGTCTTACTCTCTCCGAAAGAGGTTGGTGGCGGGACGGCGCTGTGGTGTGTCTTTGGCTGCGCACAAACAATAAAAAGAATAATGATGCTATCAAAATGCAGTGTGACTTCACCAATTGAACGGGCGCGGTTGCCTTCTAACCATCCCTAGGGTCGATTCTCCTAACCATCCCTCGGGTCGATTCTCCTAACCATCCCTCGGGTCGATTCTCCTAACCATCCCTCGGGTCGATTCTCCTAACCATCCCTCGGGTCGATTCTCCTAACCATCCCTCGGGTCGATTCTCCTAACCATCCCTCGGGTTGATTCTCACAAAAAGACAAGTACAGCAAACCTGCCGGTGTTTGCCGGACACTGTACCAAGTGTACCAAGTGTAGCAAGTGTACCAAGTGTAGCAAGTGTACCAAGTGTAGCAAGTGGAATCCTGCACTGACCACACAGATAATCATGGATCGAACGAGCATCCATGGATCAAGCGGAATCCTGCCAAGCCAGGACAGTTTCCGCTGCACCAAGGGCTTGCGGTTAGCGGGGCAGGTTTTACTACACATGTAGATGATTGGTATGATATCATTTATTTTTACTTGTACTTCAATAAGCGAACGCATGCACTTGGCAATGTCACTCAAGAAGCACCAACGTGACCGTGCTGAAGTCCCTTTCGTAATCGTAATTGCTTAAATTCAGTAGCAAGGAGTGAAGCACATACCGGCATACAGATAATATTGGTCATGTTCAAGCTCGCATGTTACAGATATTTCAGTCGGTTTGAGGAACAGGCTAATGAGGTGGATGAAGGACATCTTAACTGAATAAATCATTTTAAACTGCAGTACCTGATGCTGGCTTCTTGGTGGGAAGCTGGACAGAAAAAAAAGAATCCATACAAGCCATGGGTATTCCATTACTTATTTAGTAAGTACATCCCCTTCCCCCCCCCCCCACCCTATACACACACAGACACACACACAGACACACACACACACACAGACACACACACACACACACACACACACACACACACACACACACACACACACAGACACTGCCCATCGCCGAAGAAATGACAGGAAACGAACTATGTTACACAGTCATGTCAACTTGTTCTAGGATTACACCATTCAACAGCTTACCAGGATGAGGAATTGACCACCACTTTCTATTTCACCCAGGTAACGCACCACACAGCCGCTTCAAAAGAGGCTTTTCTCAAGTGACCCCCCCCCCTCCCTCAAAACACACACACACACAACTAGCACACACTTACTCATCCCGGCACATGCAAGATCATACCACACTGAATGACTAGGTCTAACTGAGTCAACAATCGCGCCCATAAAACAGTCCTTGCAATTTACCGTATCTGTACTTACATTTACACCGCCATGCCGAACAGCTTCTCGGAGTCTAAACAATAGCAAGCAGCGAGAACAAGTACACATAGAACAATGTAGACAATCAGCTATAGGACATTGTGACATGTAGTGCATGCTGGTAGTTTAAACCTTGAAGTAGGCTGCTTGTGCTCGAGCTGCCAGGTGTAAGGACTCTAGACACATGTATACACACATTGTCTCATTGTCTTCTCCACTTTCCCTAACCGTGAAAGTTTCAAAACTGACGGAAAATACAACTCTCGGTTCTCATCGAATATGAGTATTGGAAGGTGGGTATGTGTGTGTGTGGGTGCGTGCGTGTGCATTAAAGGACAAGTGGAAGACCGGAGAGATTTCTTACGCCGTCATAGAGCGGTTTAGCAGCGTAGATCTTGACTGGAAGTATACGGCAAGAAACTCTGAAACAAACAAGAAACAAATTCCCAGCAGCGGGAGCAAAAAACTGAGTCAGGATCAATCAAGTCCAATAGCACTTCTCTGCAGTGTGTAGCACAGCAGTATTCACATAGGCGAGCACAGTGTTGATGTACTGCTGCACATGTCCTGCAGAGAGTGCATAATAGACGGTCAGATTATAAGGATAGCAGCTATAGGTAAGTGTAAGTGAGTAGCATGCCACATCCTTATAGCCCTTCCAGTAGCATGCCACATCCTTATATAGCCCTTCCAGTAGCATGCCACATCCTTATATAGCCCTTCCAGTAGCATGCCACATCCTTATATAGCCCTTCCAGTAGCATGCCACATCCTTATAGCCCTTCCAGTAGCATGCCACATCCTTATAGCCCTTCCAGTAGCATTTCCAACACCTGACACGGTCAGCCTTGTGTTAGATTCAGTGTGATAGTGGATGCCGGGTGTGCACACAGTATGGAGTCGCAAACCATATTGGCTATTCTCAAGACCAATGAGAGTGTTGCCGTATGCGTGACGACCAACAATCATGAGAGGATGATGGGAGCACTATACCTGTGTTAAATGCAGAGTTCACCAGCCAGTTCGCAATCTTTGTCAGCGTGTCCTGGATCCGACCTATCACAATAATACACGTGTTCAAAACGAACAATGGCAGCCATCACAACAACATGATACAGTAGTGAACAAAACGCCACAAAACTCAAACCCTAAAATGAAAACAAAACAGCAGGAGCAGCAGCAGCAGGAGATTGTAGGGAAGGGGGAGGACGAGGACGAGAAGATGAAGATGGAGGAGGTGGTGGGGAGGAGGAGGAGGCGGAGGAGAAGGCGGAGGGAGGAGGCGGAGGGAGGAGGAGGAGGAGGAGTAGAAGAAGAAGGAGGAGGCGGAGGGAGGAGGAGGAGGAGGAGGAGGAGGAGAAGAAGAAGAAGAAGGAGGAGGAGAAGAAGAAGAAGAAGAAGAAGAAGAAGAAGAAGAAGAAGAAGAAGAAGAAGAAGAAGAAGAAGAAGAAGAAGAAGAAGAAGAAGAAGAAGAAGAAGAAGAAGGAAAGTAATTCGCACCAATAGAAGAAGAAGAAGAAGAAGAAGAAGAAGAAGAAGAAGAAGAAGAAGAAGAAGAAGAAGAAGAAGAAGAAGAAGAAGAAGAAGAAGAAGAAGAAGAAGAAGAAGAAGAAGAAGAAGAAGAAGAAGAAGAAGAAGAAGAAGAAGAAGAAGAAGAAGAAGAAGAAGAAGAAGAAGAAGAAGAAGAAGAAGAAGAAGAAGAAGAAGAAGAAGAAGAAGAAGAAGAAGAAGGAAAGTAATTCGCACCAATAAAACTGGTGGGTAAAAAACCGTCTCGACTGTTTTTTAGGCAGTGACGGAGAAAGTAAAAGGAGAAAAGAAAAAGAAGCGGATGCCACTGTGGGCCAATGCCTGAGGTTGAGCAAAAACGGTGAAGGCTAAAAACCTCTTCAGAGCGGGAGCAGGCCAGTGCTCAGCGTAGTGCAATATGGACGAGACACTTGTAGTGAAGTTGTGGACGAGACTGTTGTAGTGAAGTTGTGTTGTGGCGTCTTGCAGCTAAACAGCAGCTTGGTGCAGCGAAAGCATACAGCGAATGGCAGCGCGCAGTGTTGTGGCTTTGTGCAATAGTAGCTCTATGCGGCGAAAGCATCTACTGATAGACTCGCTCCAGCGCGGCGTAGGACAAGCAAGTAAACTAGAAAAACGAAAAAAAAGAAGAAGAAGAAGAAGAAGAAGAAGAAGAAGAAGAAGAAGAAGAAGAAGAAGAAGAAGAAGAAGAAGAAGAAGAAGAAGAAGAAGAAGAAGAAGAAGAAGAAGAAGAAGAAGAAGAAGAAGAAGAAGAAGAAGAAGAAGAAGAAGAAGAAGAAGAAGAAGAAGAAGAAGAAGAAGAAGAAGAAGAAGAAGAAGAAGAAGAAGAAGAAGAAGAAGAAGGAGGAGAAGGAGAGCAGTGTACGTGTTCTGTTGCTAAAACTATGGCAATGCATTTTCATTCTTTCGTTGACTGATCGGGGATAGTTGCTATGCTATTGTGCGGTCCACATGCTGCTCACAGTGCTCAGGTATACATCTATCAATGACACAGCACATCAGTGAGATGATGATCACAGCACATCAGTGAGATGATGATCACAGCACATCAGTGAGATGATGATCACAGCACATCAGTGAGATGATGATCACAGCACATCAGTGAGATGATGATCACAGCACATCAGTGAGATGATGATCACAGCACATCAGTGAGATGATGATCACAGCACATCAGTGAGATGATGATCACAGCACATCAGTGAGATGATGATCACAGCACATCAGTGAGATGATGATCACAGCACATCAGTGAGATGATGATCACAGCACATCAGTGAGATGATGATCACAGCACATCAGTGAGATGATGATCACAGCACATCAGTGAGATGATGATCACAGCACATCAGTGAGATGATGATCACAGCACATCAGTGAGATGATGATCACAGCACATCAGTGAGATGATGATCACAGCACATCAGTGAGATGATGATCACAGCACATCAGTGAGATGATGATCACAGCACATCAGTGAGATGATGATCACAGCACATCAGTGAGATGATGATCACAGCACATCAGTGAGATGATGATCACAGCACATCAGTGAGATGATGATCACAGCACATCAGTGAGATGATGATCACAGCACATCAGTGAGATGATGATCACAGCACATCAGTGAGATGATGATCACAGCACATCAGTGAGATGATGATCACAGCACATCAGTGAGATGATGATCACAGCACATCAGTGAGATGATGATCACAGCACATCAGTGAGATGATGATCACAGCACATCAGTGAGATGATGATCACAGCACATCAGTGAGATGATGATCACAGCACATCAGTGAGATGATGATCACAGCACATCAGTGAGATGATGATCACAGCACATCAGTGAGATGATGATCACAGCACATCAGTGAGATGATGATCACAGCACATCAGTGAGATGATGATCACAGCACATCAGTGAGATGATGATCACAGCACATCAGTGAGATGATGATCACAGCACATCAGTGAGATGATGATCACAGCACATCAGTGAGATGATGATCACAGCACATCAGTGAGATGATGATCACAGCACATCAGTGAGATGATGATCACAGCACATCAGTGAGATGATGATCACAGCACATCAGTGAGATGATGATCACAGCACATCAGTGAGATGATGATCACAGCACATCAGTGAGATGATGATCACAGCACATCAGTGAGATGATGATCACAGCACATCAGTGAGATGATGATCACAGCACATCAGTGAGATGATGATCACAGCACATCAGTGAGATGATGATCACAGCACATCAGTGAGATGATGATCACAGCACATCAGTGAGATGATGATCACAGCACATCAGTGAGATGATGATCACAGCACATCAGTGAGATGATGATCACAGCACATCAGTGAGATGATGATCACAGCACATCAGTGAGATGATGATCACAGCACATCAGTGAGATGATGATCACAGCACATCAGTGAGATGATGATCACAGCACATCAGTGAGATGATGATCGTGTACTGTAAGTCAACTAATATTCTGCGCATATTTATTTTCGGCTATTTTCGGCCTGGGCAATTTTCGCCTAAAATTTGTTGTGGTCGAAATTTTGTTCTGCAAGGTTCAGTGTGACAATGTATACAGGCAGCAGCAGTACAGGCTGAAATTTTAATGCGGCCGAAATGTGTTTTTGCCCTGGGAGGCCGAAATTTGAAGGCGCCAAAAATGTGTAGACTTACAGTAGTTGCCAAAGTAACATGGACCAAGTGTGTGCATATACTGTATGTGTCTGTGTGTGTGCACGCGCGCGTGCGCGAGTGAGTATGCCATGTTTTCTTCCTTTAGGGATACTCTCAGCAAGTAGAGTCAATATTCCAAGATTTACAATAGTGAAAATGAAAATCACAATGCAGTGCAGAGCCACCGTACCTGGCAGATGTTCCACAATAATTTCTGCAGGTCAATTCAGAGAATCGGATAGCACAAAAAGCACCAAATGTGACCATGGATGAATGAATAGATAGATGGATGGATTGCTGGATAGAGGGATGAGTGGATGGAGAGCAGTTAGCACTATGTAGCTATGAATCAGTGCAGTCACTGGCTAGTCACAGTGAGGTGTGTCTCATGAACATCAGCAGATACGAACACCAACATAATTATTACAATGCTGATGGTGCATGCACCCACGACACTAACAATGTTAACCCTCCGCTTCACCACCGTGCACCACAAAGGAGTTGAGGCACGCATGCACACACGCACACACATGCTTGTTTCATGCACACATAGTATACACACACATACATGTACATAGTACACTTGCAAGCGAGCACACGGAACTCACCATCATCAGCATTACCAGCTGCCATATCCATCATCAGTTTCACCGGGACAGTTTTTCCGTTCTGCTGTAGAATCGTACGGAATTCCTTGAGCAGCTTCTCTACGCCGATCTTGAACGTCTCCGCCTGTAGAAACCCCACGCAGCATCAGCCAGTCAGCTCATAATTTCACAACCTACTACCACTCATGATACATTAACACTACAGGTGTCCTTCTATATCAAGGGTAACTTAACACATGCAACTCGTGGGGCAGCTTGAGCCAACTGACATCAGAAAGACAGGACAACTGTGGATTGGTAAACTCAAACATGCAGATTACTGTACTTGCACTCAAGGAGAATCGATACTGGTGGTGTAAGCAATGCAGCTCATTAGAGGGTATGGTACACATTGCATGTACAGTAAACATCGACACTGAGAACAGTACTTCACCTATCCAAACAGCTGGTTGAGTTCACGGCCATAAAAGTTCACAAGAGCACACAACTCCCCCCCCCCCCCCCCCCATCCTCTCCTAAGTGCACCACCTTGACTCGCTGTCTGGGGAGGGCCCACTGCGTTCGCATCACCATAATTATGATCCAGCAATGCTATACTGCACTGCAGAATCTACGTGCAAGTAACTATACCTAACACCTGATGATCTTCTTTCCTCCGAGTTGAGGATCAAGACTTACACCACAGATACAATAGCTACACTGTGCAAGTATGAAAGGCCTTACAGCACTGACACAGTAACTGTGCTGTTGGGTACAAAGGGGATTACCCCCCCGCATAAGTAAGTTCACTGCATAGCCTAGTGTACAGTACTGTGAGAAGACCTCTCATCCCTCATGTCATCCATGTCATCCCACAATCATCCATGTCATCCTTGTCATCCATGTCATCCCACAATCATGGGGTGCTTTGACGCTATGTTACACTCACACCCGGTGCTAGGGTACTGGTCACCCCCCCCCCCCCTCCCCCCTCTCTCTCTCTCCCTCTCTATCTATTCTGGTTTCAATGAAGCAACTGCTTTCCATGCACATCATGCTGAGTAGGTAAAAGTGCGGCTGGGTAACAATGTGGCTTTCTCGATAGACTGCCTAGTCTTCTTTCTTACAGAGTTTGCTAGTTCCATGCTCCCGGGATTGTTTTCTTGAAAGAAGCTCTTGGCCTTGTCCACACGATCCATTAGCTTCAGATAGGACTCAATGTCGCCAACGATAGGCCTGGGCAAAGAGAAGCAAACACTTATCAGCCATTACATGTACATCAAGTAGGAAGTACAGTGTACTCGTACGGTCTGCTATATAGCGTGACCTTGGTCTCAGAGTCTAGTACAGACGGTTGAGGGCACTCATTACAGCAACACCCTCACAGAAGAGAGACAAACATTAGGTGCAGAAGAAACTGCAGTACAGACTTCTAAACCATACATAAATCAGTCTCCAGCGTGCGAGATGTGAGAAACATGCCACCATCATTGTCTATGATAGATAGAGTTATGAAAATACACATAGGTCCATGCAAACAGCTACGGGACACATGTGAGGACTGAAAAGTATCAGCGACTGTGACGACAGAGGACCCCACCCAGTAACGTGATAAGCGGTAGGCGTGAAACGGCAGCACAGATAATATACATGCACTGCAACACCATTGCCGAGTACGTGCCGGGTGGCAAGGCCAGCACACCAACCAGGTGCTCTAAAGCCTAAGTCAGGAAAACCACTATCATTGTGAGAATGTCTCTCAGTGCAGTTTTTCACGTTGGGTTTCACAGAAGTTCTTGAGATGGCAGCAGGAGCAAAGCTGCAGGTAAACTCAAATCCTGTGTATCACCCCTCCACATACTTGCCAACCCCTGGCAAACAGTTTCCATGACACTGATGACGTTTTTCCTTGATTTTGCCCATTTTTCCTTGATCTGCAATTTTTACATCATAATTGTGCAAAATATTGTATATGACATCATAGTGACGTCACCATGACCACAAAACATTCGCAAATAGTACATGTACGAAAAAAAAGTACTTTTTCATGCGCTAACTCAAAAGTTCTCGCTCGCTACACCTTCTTTTTGGGCACATCACTGCGAGCGAGGGTCCAAAACACTGAAAATCAACAAAAAAGGTGTTGACGGACATTTTAGAAAATCCGGTAGATGTTATACCTTTTCCGGTATACCGGGAAGAAAGCGAGTTTTCCTTGACTTTCCCGGAAATTCCGGTAGGGTTGGCAAGTATGCCTCCATACAAGATCAGTACATCCACTTTGTTAGTGCAACGAAGTACTGCAACTGCCAAAACCCGGCAATGTGACACCGTGCATGGCCGTATGCAGCCCTTACAGCCCTAACCCGGTCAAGGAAGACTAAACACTAAGTTGCAGCAGCAGCAGTCAATGCCTTACCCATCACGAATAGGCTGGTCAACTTCATCGGCAACATGATGGTACTCAACGATGCTGCCCAGCTCACGGAGGGTGATGGCTACATCTGTAAAGAAAGCACAAGACGCAAATGTGCAATTGCTATACTTGTAGGCTGAACTTCTCTTTCACTGAAAATGACCTTTGCATACATGTACATCATACGGTACATTCACCAGCACACACTGATGCTAGCCAAAGTTGCACTAGGTCACAATGAATGAAGTGTACAAACAAGTCTGAAAGTAAATTGGCTGCTCCCAGCTTACTTTGGAAGACTTGACCTTACCAAGGCTCACACGCCCAAATTTTTTAAAAGTTCTGTAAGATCACATCATTGTGACCCTATCCAGCACATTCCCTTGAATTGAGATGTTGTCCAGTGAAATACAGTGTACGGCCGTCTCAAAGAAGTGTACAGGGTGACATCGTTTTCCGGGAGACAGCTCAACTCTCTAACATTCTGGTGCAACCGGGCAACAAGCTGCACACTGGTATATCAGTCTCCGCTAGCTCACTACTTTGTATGAATGGGATCAAAAACCCAAACAAAAAGGACAGAAAGACATCGATTGTACAAGAGCACGCGGTGGAAATTGCAAACTGTTTAACATAACGTTACGTACTGTCCTGGAGCCTGGTCAAAGTCTGAGTGCGACGATAAACCGGCTGAACGCTGTTTTCAAGGCGCAGGAGACGATCCTCGAATGAGTTCAAAATGGATGCCTTTGCATTCACAAGGAACAACAGAAAAGACACAGGAAGTCTGTTGTTATCACGGCCACATTGAAATTGGACTCGGGAGGAGAGCCAAGGTTTAATTTATAAGAATAACTGAGGACCAAAGAACTACAAGTGATGCTACAATGTCCACTAACCCCACCAAGGCGTAGAACGTCAGTACCGTTGGTCAGTGCCGTGCAATGTTATCGCATGAGCTGATTGTAGCGTAACTGGTGGTGTTGGTGGACACTATAGCGTAACTTGTAGTTCCATGGTCTTTCTCTTTTATCCTTATACAGTACATTAAAATTAGATTATATCTACGACTCCTGGTCGTCGCACATCCAGGGGAGCATCAGTTTAATACTGACCTGATCGGGCACAGCAAAACCTTGAAAGAAAAGGTGATGAATCTCTATGCTGCGTGTTACTGGGACCTAAAGCGCATCTGTGGATAGCACATGTACGTGTGTATGAATAATTCTGTGATTGGCAAGGGTATGTGTATAATGCAGTTTGTCAACAACCGGCGATCTAGTTTTAAGGCCCGCCATGCATTTTCTGTCTACGAGTCGAGCACGTTCAGTGCTTGGAGGTGCTAGATACACTTTAGCAGCGGACAGACATACCGAAGGACACACACACACACACACACACACACACACACACACACACATCATGAAGTATTCAGTGAGCTGCATCTTGCTGTAAAGCTGTATACCACTATAGTATCGCACAGCATGCATGGATGCAGCGTACACTGCTGCTGCTTTTGTGAACAGCTACTCTTCATGTGTTTGTGAACAGCTACTCTTCATGTGTTTGTGAACAGCAGCTACTCTTCATGTGTTTGTGAACAGCAGCTACTCTTCATGTGCGGTTTGGCACCATCCAGCAAAGCAGCCAAGTACTAAACTACATTCCTTGATGAAGGAGTGAGAGCAATTTCGGTTGTGAGCGATGGTTGGGCCACATAAGTCACCACACTATCTGCAGCTCATCCAACTCAAAGCTATAACCAAGTGTGTAATTTTTGTACGTGTAACTGTTTTACAGCCCTGCTTTCATGTTTGCTGGACTGGGGCACATTTCAGCATCCACAAACCTATTTTGCATTGCACACCAGCGTAAATCCACCAGCGCAGCTCCGTCCGTAGCGAGCACAAGCAGCAGCACTTACCATGTTGGTGCTGAGCGCTGCACTCTTAGCCATAGCATCCTTGATGTTCTGCAGGTTTTGCCTGTCCTACAGGTGCATGGTCAGAGAAAAAGCTTGCCATAATCACATTACACGTAGGCCTACGTGATAATGCCCTTTCGCATACTAGCAAGTAGCACATTTTGTATGCAGTGACAATGTTCAGGATAATTGTAATCAATCGCTAACCCGCTCGAGTTTCTCCTCGTACTCCAGCCTGCGCGATACTACCGACTCCTCCATTATGCGACGACGCGAAGATACTGATCTAGCTGCTGTGTACCTCAAGTACACGACATTACTACAGTTTCGTAATATAAATTCCAAACGATCCACCAAAGGCAAAGGCCAGGCACCCGAAACCAGAATCTTGCAAAGTATTAAAAAGCCAATAATTATTTCAACTGTATAACTAGTAACTATGAACTTACTTTGACAGTGACGTGTACGTCATGCATGATCATGCAGATGAATAATTATTGATGATGTACACGCGTAGAATCTACGTGCTACGTGCATGCAAGCGCATGTGGACGTGGTAGACGTATTCATGGTATTTTTGTATCATGATCAAGACAAGACTTGAGGACTCTGAGGAGCAAAAAAGATGACTGCATGACTGATTGACTGTATAGGGGGGGGGGGGGGCACATGTCCTGCCTGGGGTACTTGCTCAAGCTGGGGGGAAAACTGACAGAGGTCTGGTCAGTATAACTTATATTGTTATAAGTATTTGCAAACTGCACATTACAGGCCCTACCGTTGAAAGTAGGCCTAGCAACGGAAAATGCTAATATTTTCAGCAGCATAGCATGGAACTCTTCCTCTCCTCTCCTCCATGCGCTCTCACAGCCGACTCACTGCTACCCTCGGTACCCATTAGTTACACACACCAACAGCCATAACATAGCATGGGTGTCAAATAATTGTGAACGGTACCATTCGGCGGTTCAATAATGTAACAACCTCTCCTCTTCTCCTCCATGCGTCGGCTGAGAGCTCATGAAGGCGCCGAGAAGGAGAGATTGTAGCATAGCATGAGAGGTGGTCTACTGTGAACAGTGGGTCATCTGTAGTGATATTCACAGCATTCAGTTGTCTGTGCCCAACACACCGGCACTCACGTGACAATCCTGGACTGCCAACAGTGGTGCCTGGCGGCCTGATCTCGGACATTCCCACACCCCTTCACGCTGTTCAAGACGTTCTTGTATTGTACACACAATGCTTGAAAGGATGAGCATTCGGTTGGATAAAAAAGAATAAGCCAAGAAGCACAACTACCAGAAAATGGCCGGACAGTCAAGGATAGTTAATTGTATTCACTCAGTCACTTTAGTGGTGAAGGATATGAGTGAGACAAAGACAGTACTTAAAAAAATCGGGTTACTCAAACAGTTTGTGACCAGCCACACTGAGCGTGTCGGATGTACTTTTAACGTTATTTGTGAAAGATAAATGTAGATATGTAAGTCCTGTAAGGCCGACTGGCCTGTGCAGCATGTCAGTGACGAAAGTGTAAATGATCTCACAGGGGAAAATGAAAAACCCTCACCTGTCCCCGATACAGGAAAAAAATAATCCGGGGTTTGACTTCCTTCTTGATTCAAATATAGCAGCAGCGGACCGACATGACAAAATTAATAAGTCCCAATACACGCATTACACTGAATGCTTGACAGGTGCACTAACATGGGGTAAATACCTGGAAACAACACAAATCAAGTGAATAGAGTACATTGTAAGATGAGAGTGACAATGGGTTGTGGGAGGGCAATTCTAATTACAATTGCTCAGTACTGTGTCTCAAATAAAACTGGTCCTAGTCCAATGCATGCACTAGCCAGAACAGACGTGCGAAATTTGCTAAAATGCTTCTGGAGGTGCATGGGTGACAAGGAATAGCTTTGAAAGTGGCTAGCTCGTTGATGGTTGATTCCAGAGATAGCGGCATACCAAATGACAATTTGACACCAGTCACTTAGCACACCAGTTCAACGCGAAGCTTCCACAGCGTGTCCATGACGAGCATTCATACCGATGTGTCCTTTGAAAGTGATTCCTGTAGATGCAGCAGACAAAACGGCATGACAAGTTTAGCAGGATTGGAATTGTCTTTGTTTATTCACTGGCAATTTCCAGCTTTTGCACTGGTGAACCATACATGAAATTGGTCCATAGTATACAGTGCACACATGCAGTAGTCTCCGGTGGTGGACTATGCATCGTCGTTGATATACATCGATGTCATGCCAATACACCATGATTAATCAACCCCTGTGTAACTGCTATTCACACTGCCAGCAACATTACATTTTTGCACTAGAGCCCACTTACAGTTCTGACAACGTGCCATACAAAAATAATTACTAATTAGTAACAAAAGTCAGTAGATGTCACGCAGCAGTGTGTATCTGTTTCACTCAGCTAACACCATGTAACATTGAGGGTAATTCTGTTGTCATCTGATACAGTGTTATGCTTCTAGATGTATTACAGTGTACACCCGTGTACTTCAGAATTATGCCGAATACAGACCAGGTTAATGAGTGTAGGAGACAATTGTTTCGCGGAGAGTGTCGGGCTAGATCAAACTCGAGGGAGGAACATCTGTGCGACGTGCAACAGACCGTATGATGTAGTTTGCAGACCCCGCACAGGCCAGTGGAAACAAATGAGATACCATGCATGGTCTGTGTGCGATTTGCCACGCAAAGTCCACCAGTGCATTGTGGTCATTGAACAACAGACCTTGGGAATTCCCCAGAAGGCTCACTGCGTTTGCCAAGTGCATAATAGAACTTGGAAATGCTTCAAAATGGGCGAGTACAAGCTATATCGTACATAAGCTAGCCTAGCCACTGTACGTTCCGAACTGCATCACCGGGTGTGTATACACTACTTGCAACACGTATAAGCACGTGTTTGATAGTACCGTAAAGTACCGCCAGAGCGCCCCGTCTCGCGAGAGCGCCCCACCTTGATTTTACAGCCTGAGAAAGGAAAATCGTATGGCAGAGTGCAACGAAGTTTGTACGATGTGAGAATCTTAGTGTACTAAGGTCACGCTTGGCAGGGTTTTGTGTGGAGCTTGTGTCCGCTCGAAGGTACGGATTTTCTACAAACCGTGCAATATGTGTACAAGGTTCATGTCGTATGACCTACAGACAGCAGACCACCTCCACAAGACGACCACGAAAGGACGAGATGGTGGGGCGCTCTGGCGGAACTTTACGGTATACGCTATTGGGAGTGTTCCTTACGCCTAACACTCTAGCTCAGCTTAGGCGTTGACCGAATGCATCGATCTCATGAAGCACACAGTATTGCTTACCAGTTGGTCTTTGACAGCTTTGTACTCATGGTATGGCTTGGGCTTGGGTGGAGGTGCGCTGCTGTTGTACATGAAACATTGAAATAACAAGGAAAAATCAATTTTAGGAAAATCATACAGAATTCAAAATCACCGTAGCACTCCTCAGTATTTCGACACTTCAGACAGTACGTTCAGTACAGCAAAGCGCCCATAACCTGACTGACGTCGATGGAAAAGGCCACAGCACGCACTAACTGCTCACCCACTGAGGCATTTCAATTTTCTTAATACCAACAGTAACAAGCCAATTCCTAAGGCAGGTATGGGATGTACTTTTAAGTTTTAAGTTTTAAGCCACCCTGAACAGGAGCGTATGAATAATCACTGCAATACTGCCAATTAAGCTCTGTTGCTAGCTTGAAATCGCTTATCGAACCATCACCCAGTGGCATCATACACGATGAAACGTTATTCACACAGGGAAGCACAGTGGAGGCAGACTCTGATCATGTGCGCCTGATGTCTCTTCAGGATCTAAATAGGCGCAAGCCAATTTCATGAAAATGGAACGTCCGTGAGAGCATTTCAAACATTGGGGGCATTAGCCCTCCTGCCACTGGTTTATGGTAACACGGAGGCAATAATGCAACCGGTATAGCCACACACAAATCATCTAGCCCATTGACATGCAGCTAACCCACCACCAGGCATTACAAACACAAAGTCTTTATGATCTTCCACCTGTGGGCAATTCTCAGGACTAATCACTCCATGCATTCATCTAGCAATCTTGTAGTTCCTACTCAGGGCTTTACATTTGTACTTACACTGTACGGCTTGCATTCTGTTTGGCTAGCTGGCTGGCTGAAACATGCATAGGCGATGGCGGTGCAGGCGACGTACTCGTACTGCTGCCCAGTGGACTTCTCTGCAAGGAACTAACGCTGATGAGGTCTGCACGATCGCCCTGTGTGTTGCCTGCACCACTGGCGGAACCAATTGCGTTAGTGCTAGGACAGCTTATACTAGAATGGCGGCCCGAGTGCCATTGGAAGCCTTCAGCTTGGACGAGGGTCGACCCTCTCTCCGGTAGCGACTGCTTGCGGTTCAACTTCGGACTGTCGCCTTTTCCGCTGCTCGCCGCATGCGGCGAGTGAGATCTGCCAGGGCCGATCTTGGAGGCCAGGGTGCTAAGGCGTGAGCGCAGACGCCCAGGGCTCTTCTCATCGCCATGATTGTTATGTGGCAAAGTCTTGGCATCTTTTGACGCCTTCATCTTGTCAGTTCCAGAGTCCAGGGATGTTGCTTCGGATCCTTGAAAGCTGATAAAATTCCTGCCGCCCCGACCGATCTTGTGGATGGCCCCATCTGAACTGTCTCTCCTCAGTTTTCCTGGTCCAAAACTGTCATCAACCTGAACAATTCTTCTGCTCTTCTGGCTCAATGACTGTCCGCGCAACTTGTCTGTATAGCGACTCGGACCACTGGAGTTGTTGCTGACTGCTTCATACGGCCGGGCACTTGCCAGGCAGCTTTCTGAACGCCAGCTATCCGACGAGTCGCCGATTAAATGCGAGACGCCGCCGTCGCCTGCAGCCGGCAGTCCTGCAAACGCGGTGTGCTTGCTACTATGGCGAAACGACGGGTCCAGGGTGGCATAGCGGTACGATGCCAGCGAAGCAGTGTAGTCGTCTTGTGGCTGCCGCCGAGAGTCAAACTCGGCGCCAGGGGTTTGCATGCCAGGGAGCAGTGCGGCCGGCCTGTCGCGGCTGCTTCTCCGCCGAAACGACGGATCGAGCGTCGCGAACTGTCGCTCTCCTGTGTAGCGCACGCTCTGCGTCGAGAACGAGTTCAGTGCGTTCTGACTGCGTGACATGGCCGCACTCTGGTCATCAACATACTCGCTAGCCTGCAGGACAGATATGTTAGGCATGGACGGTGTCCTTGGTAAGGATGAGTCACTGTCCGGAGGGCTGAGCGGTAAGCTTAGAGTGTGAGGTACGGCATCAGCAGCTTCGAAGTGAACCATCATTTGGGAAGAGGAGTAGGATGCATTCGCTTTCGACTGCTTTTCCAGCTCATCAAGGTCGGCATAATCACTATCCGGACGGAGCATTCTTGATGGCGGTGCTGGATGACACGGTGGCGGCACCTCACCAGGAGTGCATGCCATGGAAACTACAGCCAAATCGTTGCGCTGCTCTGCTGTCATCGTAGACTGCAGGGTAGCCATGTCCACGTATTCATCCTCCGAAACAAGGCGATCTCTCCCCTGCTGGTCCGGGTTGGTCATCAGCTCCGTGTACCTGCCGGCACTAGTAGTAGTACTAGTAGGAGCAGGCTGGCCGAGTGCAGCTCCTAACACTGCTGCTGACTTGTCATTCTCCGCCGCCGCTACCATCCTCTTGTGCGTGTCCAGCGCCAACCGGGCTGCTCCCATCTCCATGTAATCATCGTCCACGGTCAAGCCCATCATCTTCAACAATATGCGATTCAGCACACGAGTTTCTAGATGTTCAAGACTTGTAGCCACGCTGATCGAGTCGACTTCGCGTTCAATACATGGGATCAGATTTCGGCAATGCTGACGGCCGAAATGCGGTCCGCCGAAATGGTGGAACGATGAAAGAACCACTACACAGCGCTGACCAAACTCACGTCGTTAGGCTGCCACCTGTGTCAAAAGTAGTCGAGCTAAACCTTCACCTTTTTACTTGCCCTCTTTCACACCAGTCATGATCCCCTCCCTTTACCTTTTACTGATGGCACCGAAACAGTGGGCTGATGTGCAGTGTGGAGATCGCTAAAGTGACCAGAGGGCAGCTGACTGCCAGAAGTGCGATTTCAGCGTCCGTGAGTCCGTCGCAACAAATAGCGGTGCACGCTACACAGTCGCGTAGTGTCTGACTTCCTTCCGCGAAGGTGTTGCGGGTGAAGCCCACCACCGCCACCGCCACTTCCGTCACAGTGTCTCGACTCCGTGAAGTACACGTAGTGAGTGAGCAGGATCTGGGACCGGCAGCTGTCCGATTTCTCGCTCGCAGCGGTTTGTCCAACTCCGACCCCGTCGGACTCCGCGATCCGACGATTCCGAGGTCCTTTAGTCTTTACTTCTCCTGACGTAATACACTGTACTATTACTCAGTCTTATACTAGGACTCACGGATCTGCACCCCGATCCAGTTCAAACCTAGGCTAAGTGCTGAGCACTGGCAGTGACTGCATTAGGTTTTAGCTACAAGACTGGTCCCGACTCGAGTAGAGCTACACAATGTTTGCTGCGACGTCGAATCCAGAAAACACGGGGTAAAGCGTGTGCATTCCGTGCGGTACGGACGAGCGCAGCAGGATCTAGGAGTGCCTCGAGTGATCCTGAATTCCTGATCCTGATCCTGCAAAGCACTCAACAATAATGACATAATTATTGTTGTAGCCATGATCATGAGGCTGTATGAAGATGATCGGCGTGGTGGGATGGGCTTGATCTCGTGCCTAGACTCCACTACTACTAGTGCTAGTACTACATAGTCATTGTAGTAGTACTAGTAGTGGTATTTTTAGTGGTGCTTCCAGAGACCACATACTGTCATGGCGATCGATTCACACCTCATTTCCCCAGATAAGATGAGACGGCATACATCATTACATGTGATTGTACCAGTAACGTTATTACAATAATAGTGTGGTCAAAACTAGTGTACGTACAATGACTACTAGTTTGACGTCGCAGGAATGCAGGCCACGAGAGAAGACCCATCGAGAGACCGGGCCCTGTACATGGTAGTTGCACAGGATGTGTAGACCTACGTAATGTAACTCTGGTCCGAGCCCTAGCTTTATAAGTAACAATCACAAGAGGTTTTCAATAGCTTGGAGCACGACTATGTTTCGAAAATGGACAAAGTGCTGACTGTAGTGTAGTGTAGCGCAATGACACGGCCATACCATTACCAGATCTGTGTGACATAGTCATTGACAACGCAGGTCAGGGATGACCTTGGCGAGGCGTGGGCGTAGCACAAGAACGAGATCGAAGGTCACAGCCACAAGGCGTGTGGTGTGTGGCTTTGTGTTGTTCTCAGTATCTGATTCTGAACTAGCTGAGCCTGAGCTGAGTCAGATGATGCATGCTGGCTGCGGCTATATCCTTGGCTGGCCTTTGGCCTTGACTTCGCTCGATGCAAGGTACTGGTAGTGAGTGTTTCGCGTGCCCTTGTATGTAGCTCTTCTTGGACAGGAGGCCCAAGAAGTTAGTTTACGGGCACACAACGACAGCCTACTGCTCGCTATCAAACAGTCACACTCACACCGCCACCGGACTGATCACATACATGTACCTCAATATTAGCGATATCAATCATAGGCGATGGAAGTGAGGGTGAAATCCGGTAAATCCAAGGACGAAAAGATTACTACTACTACTAGTACAATGTAGTTCTGTTGGACTTGGTAAGTAGGCAGCAAGTGACTCAGTAAAATATGCAGAGCTGGGTATGTCTCGTCTATTGTGGCCACGCCACCCGCTGTTTAGTGTAGCGCGGCACTCTTTTGCCTAATGTACTACAGTACTAGTAGTATACTAGGCCCAAAGAACAACGAGAACAAAGAGCATTACATGTACACGTGTAGTATGATTGTCTTGATTTATAAAAATGCAATATCGCCTACATGTGCATCCCTAGCCCTGGTCAGTTGTGCCATTCATGAAAGCCAGCGTGGTGCTGGGTCTGCCCGTGCCGTTTTGGGCGTAGCGACATGAAACGCTAGCAACTGTCGATGCTACAAGTAGCCGTCCTATGTCTTGTTGTTCCGGGACAACCAATGATCAAAGAAGCAACTTCTGACTTTGGGCGTACTAATACATGTAGTAATACTGACTATGCAACAAACCAAAATGATACCATTCAATAAAATCTTCAAGAACAGAACACAGACACTCAAGAATAGATCTGCACTTGTTTCCAAGTGTCCACTACTTCAATCCCACCTTTGATGTAACTATAATTGTTTCTTCCCCCTCCTTCTTCTTCCTGGTCGCTGTACTGCTAGTACCACCGTACCACCACAGAGCTTAGCCATTACAAAATGACAATGAAAGCTGAAGGGTAACGGACTGAAACATAATTATTATAGTACAAGATCTAGTATATGAGTGCTGGCGCTTCTGAAGTACACAATGGGCGTTGTTGAACAGTTCCCAACCTCCAGTGCTTTTCTCTCTTTAGTAGTATAGCAGGGAGTGGTATCACCCAGGCACACGGCACGGCTGACTGACCAAACTCTATCTGATGCAGTGATGGCTTTCCAGTCAAATCCTTTAGTCTTCCACAACAACTAACTTCACTGCCTAGTGCCTACCCACCGTGCCGTAATACCAAGAGTACTCTAGGTAATACCAATCTGATCAGTGTTTTGACCGCCATGCATTTTTAACCGCATGCGGTTGCAGCAAGTGCGTTGATCTTTCCTTTCAGAAACCTGCTCCCTGCCTTCAGTATGGATGATGCAGAGCTTATTATTCTTCATATCCACGATGGCCCATGGCCAATAAGGAAGATAATACGATTCAAACCAGTCCAGAACTTCATATAAAATCAGTCCAGCAAGTAAGGAAACCAACACATTGCAGGGGGATGGGGTTCCGATGGGGTACAGTGCAAGCTACTACAGGAGCATATGGATGATAGAATGAGCTTCTGGATGGAAGATTAATGTACTCTTCCTGGGGCTCTTCATTAGTACCTTTTTTGGGAATTTCAATTTTCTTCCCTCTAGTATCCGACAAGACTAAGTTTATCTCTGTACAGTCAACTTCGCTAATAACGACTGCGGATATAACGACAATTCGCGAATAACGACAGAATTTCCATGCCCAGAGCAAAGTCCCATCCCACTGTAACTGTACACTACTACATCAGTTACATGTGCTGCGCCCCCCCCCCCCCCCCCCCCGATGAGTACAGTATCTAGGGCCAGTAAGGGGGGGGGGTACTTCTCCAGCTCTCCAGCCCAGGCACTCATCACAGTCATGGCTTGAGCTGGACATCGCTAGTCACCCGTGACTGGCTTCACTTTCTTTCTTCTCCAGCGAATCACATCTCAGTGCAGCGACTCCATTCATGGTACAATACTTGCAACTGCACTGGTCAAAGCTTGCGCCGCACATACTGGTACGCATAGCAGAGAGTGCTGGTGCGATACCTGTTTTTCTTCCTCTTTGTGACGCCCCGACGGCCTAGATAGGGGCTACGGGATAATAATACTTATTGGCGATGATCTGAGCCGGGGAGCTCCATGTGAATGTAGATATCAAAAAGTATTCTTTCTAGACCAAAGAGTGGTATATTTGATAACATTTAATAACGATAGAAATTTTTACGATACTTCTCCAGACGTTTCGTTGTTCTGAACAACATCGTCAGTGGATAAAGAATGGAGGGCTTTGGGTGGTGGCACGGGTTAATAGGGAGTAATGGTGGTGAGATGAGGTGAGGTGAGAAGGTGAAGGTGGGAAATACATGTATCTAAGTTAATGGTGAAGGTTAGGTGCGGGTCGATACAGGTGGGAAGGGGTACACCCTTCGGGTAGAAGTGTAGGTTGGTAGAAGGTGTTGGTGTGCGTAGAAGGTGGAGTGCTCTTCCCACCTGTATCGACCCGCACCTAAACTTCACCATTAACTTAGATACATGTATTTCCCACCTTCACCTTCTCACCTCACCTCATCTCACCACCATCACTCCCTATTAACCCGTGCCACCACCCAAAGCCCTCCATTCTTTATCCACTGACGATGTTGTTCAGAACAACGAAACGTCTGGAGAAGTATCGTAAAAATTTCTATCGTTATTAAATGTTATCAAATATACCACTCTTTGGTCTAGAAAGAATACTTTTTTGATATTACAATGAGAGTGAATAATCAACGGCTTGTCCACCAACTCTTTGAATGTAGATAGTCAGCTCCCTGATCTGGCCAGCGGCTGGGCCGGCCGGGGCCACCTGGTTACGGCCCAGATCGCGTACAGAGTAGATCACACGTCACGCGGAACTTCCAAATCTGGATAGGAGTCCCCCTGGGAGGGGGCTATGGACTCTTGTTCCGGGCATAATTTATGGTCTAGAGTTTCTCCCTACCCGTCGCGAGTCACGTCAGTCAAGTGAGAATTCAAGTCAGCAGGAAAATGCAATCTCCCACATAGGGAGTAACCAGGGAGTCGTATGGGTCTATACGACTCCCTGGGAGTAACACACAATTCCCCGCGTTTCTCTCCCTAGATGCTACAATCTCCTTAGTACATGTACTGTGATGTAGTACAGCAGAGACAATTAAATTTTCATTTCAGATGAAAAAATACATCTGCATGTTTCACTGCTGTGCTGGGCTAGACTAGAGGCACGGTGACCAGTACATGGTGTCTGGGCTAGAGCCGGCACGGTGACCAGTACATGGTGTCTGGGCTAGAGCCGGCACGGTGACCAGTACATGGTGTCTGGGCTAGAGCCGGCACGGTGACCAGTACATGGTGTCTGGGCTAGAGCCGGCACGGTGACCAGTACATGGTGTCTGGGCTAGAGCCGGCATGGTGACCAGTACATGGTGTCTGGGCTAGAGCCGGCACGGTGACCAGTACATGGTGTCTGGGCTAGAGCCGGCACCACGGTGACCAGTACATGGTGTCTGGGCTAGAGCCGGCACGGTGACCAGTGCATGGTGTCTGGGCTAGAGCCGGCACGGTGACCAGTACATGGTGTCTGGGCTAGAGCCGGCACGGTGACCAGTACATGGTGTCTGGGCTAGAGCCGGCACGGTGACCAGTACATGGTGTCTGGGCTAGAGCCGGCACGGTGACCAGTACATGGTGTCTGGGCTAGAGCCGGCACGGTGACCAGTACATGGTGTCTGGGCTAGAGCCGGCACGGTGACCAGTACATGGTGTCTGGGCTAGAGCCGGCACGGTGACCAGTACATGGTGTCTGGGCTAGAGCCGGCACGGTGACCAGTACATGGTGTCTGGGCTAGAGCCGGCACGGTGACCAGTACATGGTGTCTGGGCTAGAGCCGGCACGGTGACCAGTACATGGTGACCAGTACATGGTGTCTGGGCTAGAGTCGGC